CATTTGTGGCACATATTGTTCCAACTCCTCTTCATAGTAGAATGGCCAGGGCCAGTTTTTGTGTCAAAAGAAAAAAGAAGAAAAGAGTAGTCAATTTTTTAATGCATTGGCATTTTAATTACTGAGACAATCTCTGACATTTTCTTTTTAAATGTGCTAAGCTTAGTTATTTTCTGCATTTTGTAGTGTTTCTCATGCATTGAAGTTGGCAGGTATTTGATTGCCTGACAAGGATTTTGAAAATTTATTATCCATAGTTTCTTAACTTACACAGACATATTGACTGCTGTTGATTAGATAATCAATATTTAAAGGCTGAAAACAGAGTTATCAAAATATGGCTGTGGACTCTCGTCTCACAAGTTTCACAAAAGATAAGTCTATCTCAATAGATCACACTGTGCGTGTACCTGATTCAGCCATAAGCAAGCTTGTGTGTGTGCTCACTTTTGTCAGTTTCACACAAAATATACCGCCCGCTTATGCTTACCCTTCGGATATCTTTCCACATGCACCCATCACAAGCTACACTCGGTTCTCATGAAACACGTTTTGGTGTCGTTCGGTTTTTAGCACGTGGTGCACTTTCTCCTTATCATCTTCATGTCCGCTCAGTTTAGTCCTGCTGGCCAGACACAACACTGGCTCTTTTTTCTGACCACTGTGTTTTGCCAAGCTTGCCCACAGTGGTGTACTTGGCCCATCGTCGTCGTACTGATGAAGACCACTACGTAGGCTGAAGAAAGGTCGAGTGGCAAGGTTGTTGTATTGCTGTTCGAGAATCTACTGACTCACTTAGCTTTACACGTCAAGGCACTCATTTTTAGCTAGATTAGAAAGCCCAGCACTTCCCATCTTTGTGCAAATGGGAACACTTCCCGACAGAGGAAAGTCTAGAGTTGGCCGTCTGTAAACGTGGGCACTAAAGGAAAATAATATGCGTAACCTTAAGGGACAAGAAGAGAGCAGAATGGATCAGAGAACGAATCGGGGTTAAGGGTATCATAGTTGAAGTCGAGAAGAAGAAATGGACATGGGTCGAGCATGTAGTGCATAGGCAAGATAACCACTGGTCATTAGGGATAACTGACTGGATTCCCAAAGAAGGCAAGTAGGTTTGGGGGAGACAGAAAGTTAGGTGGGCAGATGAGATTAGGAAGTTTGTGGGTATAAAGTGGCAGTGGCAATCACAGGACCAAGTTGACTAGGGTATCATTTGAATGGGAGAGGCCTTTGTCTGGCAGTGGGCGTAATCATGATGGTGATGATGATGAAATGTGGGCAGCTAATATGCTTGAGCCGTATTTAGTTAGAGAGGAGTAGTGAAACTACATACAGTGGATGAGGCTGTGTTTGGAATGTACTATGGCTCACCTTGAGCCAGGGAGAACTTCTTTATTTTGGTCTATTTTGCATTGATTTCCTTGATGTCGCTGCTGGCTGAGCAATTTTCCCTGCTGTCTTGTTGTATGCATTGTTTGTTCACAAATGGTTTGTTTCATTAAATTTTCAGAGAGTTATGATTGGCTCATTACAACGTATATGTTATTGACACATTGTCCTCACCAAAGCTTTGTTTTTAGGTCATTTTTTTGCTTTTATCTTTGCCAAACCTTTTATGGGGAAATCCGCTGGCTTGTGGACAACATTACTCTATATAATTATGATGAATAATTTAGAAAATGAACTTCATAACATAGCTATTTTGTGCAACAGAGGAGGAGGGCCTTCTGGCTGTAGCTTCACTTTAAATTGATGAGCATACCTAGGGCAGTGCTCAGAATATAGTGTGGTGCTTAGGCTATGACGTCTGTTAGTATTAAAAGAGTAATAATAGGGATGAGTAGCATAGCAGCTGGCATGAGTCATCTGTAGCATCCCCTTCCTCTCTCACTTCTCAAGACAAAGATAAAGATAACAAAATAAAATTTGTGGCTTAATATTCCAAATATAATGATAACATGAACCAAGCATAAATGTAAAGCCTCAATTTCATCTCTTTTATTACCATCCACTGTTCATAGCCATAGCCAGTGGATCCTGCTCATAAAGAATGCAAAATGTGTCTCACAGAGGGCATCATTAAAATATTATCATTGCATTATGGAGCCCTAAGCTCAGTTTGTTTTGAGAAATGTTTGTTTTTAGTGATGCTAAATGGCAAGGATGAAGGGGACAGGGAAAACCATTTGGTATTGTAATTATCTATAAGGAAATCTGTGTTGCCATTTTAAAATTTGTAGTCCAACCGTTTCTTGGTCTCCCTCTTCTGCATAACATGAAACTTACTGAACTTTTTTTTTTTTTTTGAACAAGTTTGGGACTACGTGGTTTAAAGATCCTGACAAGTTAAGAATACGTGTTCCGGTTGAAAGGTCATTCGCTAATTGCAGGTGTCTTCAGGTGCCACACTATGCATGACAGTCACATATGCCTTGTGCTCGCTAACGCAGTTCTTACTAGCTTTCTTTTATTTCTTTGGATGCTGTTTTACTGGGACTGTTTTCAAAGAAATGGGCTTATTCAGTGGACCTTGGACAATACTGTTAGGCTCAACTTGTCTCCCCTGTGCCAGTGCTTGAGTAAACTTTCGGTCCCATTTTTCCGCAAGAGCGTTTGTTTGGGACGAGGGGCGGTGCTTTCTTGCTTCAACTGGGTCCCGCCCCTTCTTTCTGTGATCTGTTGCAACTCTTTATGTATTTTGTTTTTTGGCCTTTTGCCTTTGTGTTTGTAAAGTGAGGTGTAAGGGTCATTACAACTCGTGCAGCCTGTCATTTCCCCGACAATGGTTGTCCTTTTTGCCTGGCTCTGCAAAAGTGAAAAGAGGGAGGAGGTGAAAATGATCCTTTCCGCTCCTTAAATGACAGTCGTGTGCGCTCGTGTGCGTCGGCCTTTGTCACTTGCTTCACTGCAGAATGTGGAAAACAAAACAAAAAGAAAAAGAATAGATACGCATACAGGAAAATAAGAAAAAGCGAGGGCAGGCACCTTTCTTAGCCTGTCGTTCGGGGCGTTGTTAGCAGTTGGCTAAACACACTTTGGAGAATTCCCGAGTCAGCCAGGCTGTGCAAAAATAAAAGAGCATGAGCGAGACTGGTATGGGGGCCACGCTCCTTCCAGGAATGTGTCGTGCTCTCCACATGTTTACTCTTTCGGACTTCATTCCAACGGCGGGAACAGCACTGCTGTTAATTTTTCTGCTTTTCGTTATTCATTTTCACTCCCCCTCTTTTCTGAAAGATGACTGAAATTTTTGTTTTGTTGGTCTTTCATGTCATGTGACACTAGCACATAATTCTTTTACAAGCTGTGCTAAAATATGAACACTACCACTCATAGCATGTGTTCTATTGGCTGGCAACGTCATTGACTTCTTTGAAAAGCCAAAAAAAAAAAGAAAAAGCTCGAAATGCCTTGGTATTTGCTTGGTCCTGCATTTCTTGTGTCTGCTCCGCCATAGCTTAACTATTAAGAATTATGTTTTGGAGGATACTTTTTTTTTTTCAGAATTCCATCAATGTTTTATACGTACGTCATATGGTAGGGCTGGAAGCATGTCTAGTTTGGGGCACTTTACACAGCTGCTTGTAATTGAAACCTCAACTACTGCTGTCTCAGTTGGGCAGATTTTATTATCTATTGCTTCAGCCTTGTTGATGTTTTTGTTAAAAGTGCAGTTTAGATGTCCATTTGATTTTTGCAATATTCTTTCGACATTAGTTGCTGACTTCTAACTTACAATCCATTCTTTCAAACTTAGTACAGTATAATAGCTTGTTATTTTGCTTGTATTAAAGATTGGTGCCATCTCATCTTGCTCTGACTTCTGCCAGATATCTTCATTGGTGTCATATTTTAGCATTCATTTGAAATATTTCTGGTTTAAACATAGGGATTTTTTTCTTTTATATATATCTCTATAGAATTGATAGTTCTTTTGTTATTTTTTTGCTTGCTTAATGCTTATTATTAATAGAAAAGTGGTCGTCTGTTCTTTGTTCTTTTGTACCTAATCTGTGCTTTTTTCTTAATAAATATTGTCAGACTAGCTCAGATGTCTTAATATAGCTTAAGTGTTGTTAATTTTCAGAACAACAGGAAGGAAGCCATTTGTTATTTGTTGTTACAGGTCATTCCTTTAGTTCTCTATGCAGTGCAGTCTGTATAGAACTATTTTCTTAATTTGCTAACTGTGCCCCTTGTTATTGCATTTACAGGCGCTGGCAATTTCAGTGAGAGTTAACATCTAAACAGTTGTGTGTATGACTATAGTGTTTTGGTTTTATTTCTAAATAGACGGGGCTTGCTAGTGCAGCTGTATTTGTTCGTTATTTTCATACTCATGGCATTTTAGTTGTGTAGGTAAAAGCAATAAGGTAATTGATTTTTAATGCAGATGGAATACACCCCGGAAAAGCAATTAACCAAAATCAGTTTGTCAACCTCCATTTACTTGTTAGTTTTTTCATTCATTACTGTGAACCCATAGCCTAAGTAAGTTGGTCAATACAAATACAAAAAAATCAGAAATAAAAACATTACTTCGTGGTTAGTTCCAAAGGCAGCTCCATTCACTAATGGTTCTTGGCAAACAAGAAAAACTTAAATAGGTTAGTGCAAGTAAAATATGAGGTGGTGGCGTTTTTCTAGTGTTGGAACACGTGAAAAGTAGCGGGAATATGTAAAAAAAAAACAGAACAAACCGTATCTGTCATTCGTAAGTACATCTGGGTATTGCATTTGTACACATGTGTATAGACCCCTTTATGTTTTTAACAAACAAAAACATGTAAACCAGCAAAAGCCAACTGCTAACTATAATAGCACAAACTCGACTAATAACGTAGTCTACTTTGTGTCAGTCTTCTTAGCAGCACGCAGCTCTCTAGCTTGTTGTATTGGAGGTTGAGAGAGTGTTGTGTTTCAGTGATCTGACATCATTCTTGGAAAGTCGCTCGTGCTCACCCTCGCTGTGTGTTTTCTTCCTCTCTCTGGTGCAGGATGGGGAGGGAAGCGTAGCCGTTTCTAGTCTTAAGGTCGCCGGTGGGCAGCATGGTGTCCAAGGGTGCAGAAGGTGACATCTCTTCCTGGACGAATAAAGTGAGTTATACGAGGTCATGTTTTTCTCGGCTAAAGTGGTCCATAGACCTCTTTGCAGATATACAGTTGCTGGCAAAAATTCGTGGTAATAGGGTCATAATTTGTGTGTTAATTTCGATCAATCGCTTGAGTAGGCACTGAAAAGAAAGTTGAGCTGTGTTAGTACGCAGAAAAATCTCATTTGCTTCAGGTGACTGGGTGAGGCAGACAAAATGGACTAAATATCTTACAAAGCACCTTTTTTTTTTTTTGGCTTCTTAGAAAGTAGCAACTTCTACTGAGTGTGACAGCCCCAAAGAAAATACAATATTTTTAAGCCCATAACACACTCCGACAAATCAGCACTCAAGCTTGTGGTGCAAAATAAAAAAAAGGAATTTTGATCTTCATTCCTGGTTCTAAAGATCAATCTGTTAGTGTGAAATTGTTGAGAGTGGTTCACAATCCAAAATGAATGCTAACAAGGAAAATATTTACCAGTGCAAACTGATTGAGCGTTTATCGTTTGGATCTCTTAACCTCATCTCTTAGCAACTCACTCTATAATTACACTTAAACCTTATTATAGCAAAGTTGCATCTTACACAAAATTAAGTTCATTATATCCAAAAATTCGTTATAAAGGTTTATTCCTTGCACTATATCTATTGCAAGACTATTTTTAATTTCCTTTATTATAACCGGTATTTCGGTATATGCTGGTTCGTTGAACCGAGGTTTGAGCGCATTAATCATTGTATGGTACACACTGCCATTTTTGAACTGAAAGCAGTCATTGTTCTTGGAATGCCCATTTAAAGGTTATCATGGGACCAGCACTACTTGTGACATCTGTTTCAAAATTTAGTGGCAAAGCATGTCAGCGTGCAGTTGTGCAGTTTTGTCCCAGACAGCTTCACAAGACCGTTGTATGAGAAATGATATGTGTGGTATGGATGCATTCCTTTGCAAATTTGTGGATGCATGTCTCGATACCGAAGCTACTCACAGGACGTCTTACCTAGTTCAGCTTGCTTTGCGCAAAATAAGGACAAAATAGAGCAAGACAATGAAAAGCATACTTCGACTGTATGGCATGCCCCTTTGACTGCACATTTGCAGTTTAACTTAGTGTAACTGTCATTGAATGGAATGAAGGTAGTTTTGACTGTGGTCGACGAGAGTTTTGCACATGCATTCATTTGTTCTCTTCCAGGGCCAAGCAGCAGGCAAGAAGGAAACCAAGGAGGACAAGGCATGGCACGGGGTGAGGACAGTGGTGTTGCAGCGGTCCAGCCCAAACGAGGACCTGGGCTTTACACTCAGACACTTCGTGGTTTACCCTCCCGATGCGATCAAGGTGAGCTTACCTTTTTTCGCACGTAGTAGCTTTTTATGAACCCCCACAGTCCTAAAAAGTCTGTGTTAAGTTCATCTACGTCATGCATAGGGCATTGGTTTAGAACTATCTAAGCTGAGGGTGTCCAACAAAGTACTTTGGAAGGCTTGAAACTGTTGAAATGTGGCCAAAGTTGACTCAAAAGTTTTGTAGTCTGTTTCATCCCCTTACATGTTTTTGGAGAGGGAATGTGGCGATTCCAACCATCCTGCAAGCCCGTGTATGCAGTTACAAGCAATGACTTAATGTTTTGCACCATGGCTACAAGGCCTTTTCTCGTTGAATGCATAAAAATACCGAGACTGCTAACTTGATTGGTTAGCATTTGCTTGTCCATTCAGGTGGGTTTGCAAACTAGCGACTATGTTGTGGTTCAGAATGTTTGGGGTGAGGTTCGTTTTTTATGGTATGCAGCAGGTACTGCTTTTCTTGAAGTGCAGTACCTGCTCTTCAAGAGCAGGGTTGAAGTGTTCAACTTAAAGGGTTGAACTTCAAGTGTTGTAGGGTTCGTGGCATTTTTGAGCTTAGTTTTCCTTTTTTAATCACCAATTGCCTGTGAAGGAGAGTTCAAAGCTTAAAGGGATGCTAGAGGCAAATATTAAGTCGATGATTACTGAAATTGTCGCCACAGCTTTCACAATGTGCCTAATGTTACATACGATAGTAGTGCATTCTAGCTTGCTGTCAAGTCAGAAACGTTTTGTGTCACCTATTTGTTTGCGGCTCGCATCAGTTAAAGTGTTTTCTTATGACTGCAAGAGGTGATGAATGTCTCGACGGCATTAGATTTTCCTGATGCATTGGTGCTAAGCCTCTGGTTGAGCACTTCCACTTGCCTAGCTGCACACACAAATGCTGCTTGTAGTTAGGGGGCATGCATTGGCTTTGAGGCATATAAATTTACTGTTGGCTCTTGTGTGTTGCAAACTCTTGGAACTTTGCACTTGATTCTGTTATCAAATCGTGCTAATTGGAATGGATCAAATTACCTGGGTTATTATATAGTCATGTATGACTTAGAGACACAAGCTTGAGCCTACTGCCTAAGACCAAGTGAGGAAAAATATATGCTGATAACAAATTGTGATTATTCATTGATTACCAATATGTTGCTAATTAGCAGCCTCTTCAGTATCACTTTCTGTATTTTTACAGGCTGCCCGGTTAGCAGGAAAACACCCAACAGTTGTAGGTAAGTAAGGAAAACTTGTCTTGGTTGTGCTCCTTTAAATTATTTGCAGTGGCCAATTACTGATAAGTCACTGCCTGGTGATTTATCTTGCTATGTTTGTGTCATTTCATTTGTGTTTTTAATATACAGTAACACTCTTGCATAAGTGAAAAAATATTTACCATCTGCTGTAGCCTCTAGTCACTTCAGGAGTGCTGTGTTCGAAACCCAACTAGCAGATTTGCCAACTTCTTATGCGCTCACTTTTGTCTTCTTGGCACAGTACATCCATGCACATTTGCATTACAATTGAGCACTGCTACTATAATAAACTGTGTTTTAACTGAAAGCATTTTAATTATACTAAATATTCATTATAATTGGTTTGTTACGAATATACCATTGTGGGTAACTTCAAGTTTGCTAATCTGTTTACTTGTTATATATACTCTTAAGGTTTGACTTCTTGTAGCTATACTCTCACACTTATGTACTAAATTCTCTAATAATATATTTTGAATGTATGAAACTAATATTTTGTTGTAAAATTTGTCACTTTCTGTGTTAGATTTACACAATTACAGGCCATGTATCATGCACCAACCTTATTGCATGTTGCTCCTTTATTTGGATATATCATTTTCGCTGTTGCACAAAGTGTTGCCATATTCTTCTCCTTTCCTCAATCATGAGTGGTCTTAGCAGACTGAACATACCTTTTAGAAGAAGTAAAAAAAATTAATTGAGTGCTTGGTATTATATTCAAGGCCTCTGTTTTCAGAGTGTTCAGTTTCACTTCAGTGAGGAAGTCATGCCATGGTAGGCTGAACGTGCCACTCACACTGTTAGCTTAAGTTGCGGCGCCAATGAGAATTACTCCTGATCGTGAAATGAGCGAAACATTGACAGTCTAATCTAGTATGTTTGTTGCTTGTAGGAACTAGTCGCCATTAGTTGATCGCTTTTGAATCAAGTCAAATTTCTGTGTCTTACCGATGCTGCTGCACATACAAACAGCAGTCACTTTACATGTTCTCTCTGTCCCTTTTATTACCTGTACGGTAAATGCAGCAAAGTATGGAAAGCAATACTGCAAAAAATTTAGTGTTAGGTAGCTACAAGCAGACTAATATTATTTTGATTGATAAACAGTTCGAAGAAACAAAAACAGGAAAATAATTTGCACCTGTACCTTAACTGAAATGCGTTTCTCTTATAGTACGCTGCAGCTACTTGGAAAGTTGCAACACGCTTTGTTGGCACCCTTCTTTACCATGCTGACTTAGCACTGACTTAGCATTCATGTTCCATGGGTACAAGCTAACACCTGACCAATCCAACAGTGGCAGAACTACAATGCCAGAAAAAATATAAAGAATGTCAGTGAGAAAATATAAACTTGTATGTAGACAAACATGAATACAAGTTGTAAAAGCTTTCAGCATGATGCAGGATAACAATTTTTATTGTGCAGCTGCTAATGATAGCAATCTGCAAAAAAATTGGTGCTACAGAACAGCTGACATGTGAATTCTGAACTTGTGCACATAGCAAACAACTTGGTAGTAATAATGCACTTTTGGTGGCAATACCATATTTACTCGATTCTACCGCGCCCTCGATTGTAACGCGCACCCGATTTCCACCGCGAAAAAAAAAAAAAACTTAAGACATCGATTGCAACGCGCACCCATTTTTCTCGCTGGCCCGCACGATCACACCACTCGAAAAAACGACTCCTTTCGGGAGCGTCTTTCATTTAAATATGAGGTACGGGCGAAGCTTGTGCCCATCTGACGTGTAACAGAGCATTGCCGTCACTGTAGTTTTACCGTGGACCAATGTCAGCACGCGAACTTGCTTCGCCCCCTTCTTCTCGACGGTTGTGGTGCCAGGCATGTCGAAGTAAAGAGGCGTCTGATCGGCATTCCCGATTTGCCCAAGCAGATAGCCGTTGTTGCGCCGCAAGTTTAGGACGAACCTCTGAAAACTGTGAAGCTTTTCATCGTACTCCTCCGCAAAACTTTTCGCATATGCATGTTCCCCTTCGGAGGGAAAAGCCTTTCCTCTTCGCTTTAAACTGGCTTCGCATTAGACCGTTTTCTAAGACTAATTGCATAGCCCGCACTTGGAGCAGTTCTGTCGTCACGGGCCGCTGTGCCGCTCGCTGCTCAAGCACATACTCGCCGAGCAGCTCTTTAATTTGCGGAAACCGACCCTGCTGTGGTCCACTGAGGCCTTTGCGTGAAGCTTTGCTGTCGACAATCTTCTGCTTTTGTTTCCGCCGGTCCCGCACGCACGTTTCGGGAACTCCGAACGACCGCGATGCGGCCCGATTTCCGTCCGTTTCTGCACACGCGATGACTTTTCTTTTAAAAGCGGCATCGTGGTGCACTCGAGTTTTTGGAGTCGGCCCTTCCACGCCGTCGATGCTAATGCACTAATAGATGACAAACTCCTCAGCACACGTACGAAGTGCCGCACATGGGAAACACATAGGCAGAAATGGCCGACACTCCATGCCGACGCACGTAGGGGGCGGCCATTTCGGATTTGCCGATGGCAATATATTGACCGTAATTTTTTTGTTCGTACTCAATTCTAACGCGCATGCGATTTATGAACTCGCTTAACCGAAAAAAGGTGCACGTTAGATTCGAGTAATTACGGTATGTTAATTACTGCAAGTTGTGACCAACACGTGTCCCCGTGTAGTGCTTTTACTGGTAACATTCTTAGGGACTGTCGGTACAAATTTCTAGCTGCAGGCTCAGAGATGGGTAAAGGGTTTTGTGTCGCTGCACTCCTGTTAGTAATAAGTTTCCATAAACTCACTCGTAGAGAAGATGACGTAAGAGGGCAGAACAGATAGGATCTTACATACTCGCTCAAGTTTCAGTTCATTTAAAAGTAATAAGCTTGTCATCACATATAGTGGCAAATGCTTGTTTTTTCAAACTTCTCTTGCTCACGAAGTTCTCGGTGAGTATGAGTGCAGATGTTATTTGCACCTTACTTGCGTGGACGGCAAGAATATTTTATCTAAAGCGTCTGTGTTAGCGGATGATTTGTGAGCATCTGTACTGTTAATGGCGCTTTAGTGTTAAGAGCCTCCTGTCGGAACCGCAGACCCGAGCTGGGACCAGCACAAGCAAGAAGCCATGGACACCATCTTTGTGCGAGAGGTCCAGCCTGGAAGTGCAGCTGACAGGGCAGGTCTTGTAACGGGCGACCGCATCGTCTCCATCAATGGGCAACCTGTCACGGGGCGTTCCTACGCACAAGTCATTGATCTCATCAAGAGGGGGTCAGTACAGCTTGCAATGTTGCTCACACATGTGTTATCTGCTTTGTTTACGTTCGTACGTATCTTCGTCAATCACGCTTGGGCCACTGAGCGTTCTGAATCGTCACTTGAATGTAAAGCACTGCCCAATAGAGCAGCAGCGCGTTTGCATATTTCTGCTTCTTTTCCTTTTTATTTGTCGTGCTTCATGTAGCATTTATTCCAGCCAATAACATCATTTTTATCGGTTAAATGTGTGGAGATCAACTCTACAAAATACTAGTTCAATGATTGACTTGTTTGCAACCGTAGACTTACATAAATGTTCTTTACAGGGGTCTGTCTGTACAGTTACTGGTTGTGCCTAAAGAAGATGACATCCTTCAGCTAGTAAGTATTAGAATATAGTGAATGTTTGGCATGCCGTGCTCAAAAGTTGCACGTGTGTTATTTGTGACCAATGGCAGCAAATGGTGTGCTGTGACTTTCAATGATACAGAGTAAAAGTATTCTTAGTGCTTACTCATTGTTCAATTACTGTTATAATTGCTTTTGTGACCTGTGTAAACCACATTTGCAAATAGCTTAACCATCTTGTGTCTTAGGGCTCGCTGGTGCTTTTACTGTTTCTTCACTAATGCATCGTTTAGTCACTAGATTACTGGACAAATGACTGAGCAGTCTTTATTCGTTTTTCCTTGTAGTACTTTGCCAGTGCGGCCTACCAACCAGTGCGGAGGCCACCGTGGCAAACTTCCCAAGGCCGACCAAACACCGAAGGCTCTTCGTTCCTTCCACCCCAGCGGGGACGGGGCGTTCCAACGTCTGAGCCAACGTCACCCGTACACTGCACTCCGTCGACTCACTTCCGGCCTGTCAACCCAGCACGCCGTCGCTTCTTCGGCCTCGATCCATCACCACCACCAGCCATGACTGCATCTGCCTCTGCTGCATCTCCACCGCAGGGCACAATGCTGGGTGACCCCATCGTCGAACACTGCGACCGAAGCGACCAGAGCAACTTACTTGCCTCACAGCCCATGTCTCTCAGCTACCCGTCCTACCGAACGGCCGAGGTCGGCGTGCCTCGGCCAACCGCCACGTCCAAGATGCCTCCGAGTACAAGTGTTCCCATGCACCTGGGAACTCAGTTCCTCAAGCCCGAAGACCCATGGTCCACCCAAGGCCAAGCAGACAGCGGTATTGGGAGTGTAGAAGATGCTGACGCTAAGCAGACAGCGACGGCGACTACAACGACAACGACAGCAACGACGCAATCAGACATAGCAAGCGACGAGCATTCTTCCCTGAACCTCGTCGCGCAGCGGTTACACCTGTTTGAATCGGGAGGCCTGCTTGCCCGCTCTCTCGAGAGGATGAAGTTGTATCGGAGTGAGCTCGCACGGCTTACTTCAGGCTGTCCAGTGCCAATCGTGTCGGTGCGCGCGGCCAAGTTTGAGGAAATGGATGGCTCGGGCTCGGACGGCCGCAGAGGAGACGGTGCATCGGAAACCTCGTCGCTGTCGACGGTGCCGCCAGTGTCCTTCGATCGGCTGCTGCCCTTGTCGTCGCCTACATCACGCATCCCTTCATTTGACCGGTCACCCGACAGCCCCATTTACGAAGAAAAGGGCTTCTCCTCATTGCCCGACCAAAGCACACTTGCCCGGGATAACGAGGAGAGCTCACCGAACCTTGACAACGGCACTGTTTGCCAAAGTGAGTTTCACTGCTGATGTTTCGTTGCTTTGGCTGCACTGCTCTAATATTATGCAAGAAACTGCATAGTTACTAACATGCCCACCGTGACAAAAAACAAAACAGAAATGTTAAGTGTGTGACAAATCCAAGTAACTGTACTCATGATGAATCTGAAAAATTTTTTGTGTCAACTTATTTATAATATAACATGCTTTGATAATGAGGTGATTCAATTATTATCGAGAAAAGTTTTGCAGTGCCCCTTTAAGGAGTTCATGCCACCATTAATGAAATGCCAGCAATATTGAAAAGTATGTTCAACAGCTTGGTAGTGGCCTCCATGTTTTTCCAACATACTTTAAAAGAGAGGCATTTATATTAACCAGGCTTGTAGCGCACGTTGACCATCTTCTCGGATGCCTATAGCTGTGACATTGGTTGTTTAATGAATAGCCGGTGTTTTTTCATTGTCCTAGCAGACTCGTATGAAAAAACTTTATGTACGATGGGACAAAATTTGCATGCAAAGTAGTATTGTGAGTAAAAGGTACTTAATCTCTGCATGTAATTCTGAATACTGAATAAATTGGCAGTTTGTTTGAAACCTGGTGATAGTTTATACTGAAATATTGAGCAATTATTACATTTGACGCTTGAATTTGTGCATAGGCTTTATCCTCTGACCTAGGAGTCAGCATGTAGCTTTTCAAAACGACACTCACTGACTTATCTTTTACGATAATGCGTAGTTCTCGGAATGAAAGTTCTACTTGGGAAAGTGTAACTGTTGCGGAGCTGCAGTCTGTCATAAAATACCAATTTAGAAATTACTGTGGCATCATTGTGCTGTGCAAGGAGGAGCCAGAAAAAGTAATGGCGAGATGTTTGTTTTGCTGACTTATGCAAGAAGTTTACCGCAAATTGCGATTTCATGGCGTAGCTTTTCAACACCTTTCCTTTGCCAGACAGACTGGGATACTTGGTATGTCATGATAGCTGGCAACAGCTAAAAGGCCAACTGAAAGATAATGTACTAAGTCACTAAATGATTGGTCTTTCCTGCTTTGACGATGGTGTCTAGTTGTTGTAGCTCTCACCAGAGTTCATTTATATGCATTAGCAAACACTGTGAATGAGTACACTAAATGAGTAGGGAATGTTCATTACTGTTTTTTCAAACGTGGTTTCTGTCGTCACACTGTTCCACTTTTACTGGACTCCAACCAGGACTCTACATTTCAAGTTTTGCCTTTAAATACAATCATTACAAAGTTTTAGGAAACTATGACCAACTGTCGTGCGGTAAGCTATGTGTCACTTAGTGGTGTTAATAGCAACACAGTTTGTTGGATATCTGTCAGCATTTGTTGCATGTGTTCTTATTCTGTGTCTGCAAGTAGCAAATACAATCATTTTTCGAAAGAGATTCTTAGTGAAGTTTTGTTTACAGTAGCAGAAGAATTGTTTGGCCGAGCCATTAAGGACGGCAAGATGATGATGTTGTTTTCAGTATGTTATAGGCCACCGCAACGCTGCACTTCTTGCCCTATGCACAGCTGAACGGGGTTGGTTGGGTTTTGCATGGGTAGGAAGGGTTGGGGATAAAGCATCTATTTAATTGTGTGTGGCCCTGCTGGTACTGACACGCGCCCTGATTATTGGTGGCATTATAACATTTCGCTGTGCGATTGCCGCTGCACTCTTATGATGGTGCCACTTAATGCCATGGTGCTTCCCCGTTTTCTCCTGTTCCTTGGTCTTCTCCTAACCCCTGTTTTGCAGCGGATGATTTTGCCTCACCAGAGGTTGCCTCGTCTGTTGTGTATAGGAGAAAAAATGGTTCTCAAGGTAACTCTTTCGTAACATGTGCATTTTCACACTGCATGCTTTGCCCCTCCTCGCCCCCCACTGAATGCTGCTCCCATCATGACCCGTCGAGGATACAAAAAATGGAAGGCTCACCCGTGTCTCCAATTTACGTGCCATTTCGTACGACCCTTTTCACCCAGCATGAACATTGCCTTGCGAGAATTCCCTTACCTGTAGCATGTTTCGTGCTGTGTTTAGTTTGTTTCAGTACTTGAGCCATCGTGTAACAGTCTGATGATTTAAGTATGTGGTGCTTGTGGAATGAAACACAACTTCAAAACAAGTATAGCAACTGGTGCATGTGAACGCTTAAGATGACAACATGACGTGGCTACAAATTTGGCCACAGGGAGAGATGTCATCTCTGGCGTAAGTGTATGAGTCGACGTTACGTCAATTCAACACAGACGGACGGTGGCGATACGAAACCAGGCGTGCTGCTTAGCCCTAAATTGTCACGTTTCATTCCATGAGCACTGTAGATAAAAGCTGTAGAAAAAAGCTAGGCGTGCAGCCATGGATGCAAAAGAAAGGGGAAAAACAACACCTTTCAACTATCTTGCGTGCCAACAAACTTCCACATTTTTCTGTGCTCCCAACTTTTTCTGCAGTGAATCTCTACTGCCTAGCCGAAATTTCCATCATTTAGTAAATAGTTGCAGCAATTTGCACTACCTATTCAAGCAGAGGTCCACAAAAACAAAAATGTGACTGTTTCTTTACTCTAACTGGATCGTAATTGGTGACTATAATTTTTTAAACATACTGCAGTTCACCAAAGTATATTTTAAGCAAGTTGTTCAAGAGAATCAACAACAAAAAGGTAGATTGATTTCTTGATTTCAATGACAATGAGAAAGAAAGATTAGCATGTAGCTACCTGCAGCTTGAGTTATGCATGAGTGTATCAGTCTTTGGCTCGTAAATTAGAAGTTATGCACATGCACCCAACTGCTACAATGTGGCACCGTTGCTCTTTTTTTTTTCTCTCCTTTTACTGCTGTCCCTCTCCCTCTTTTATGAGCAGAAGACAAGGCTCACCCGGCACGACGGACGTCGTACCTTCGAGCGACTGCAAACGAACGCCTTCACCTGGAATCGGACCAGAGCGAAGATGAACAACATTCTGTTTCCAGGTGAATGATTTCATCTCAGACATGTTAATTTGACCTCTTCTGAAGATCTCATTAAAGGTGTCACTAGTTCCAATGAACCTTCTAGTTTTTACGGTGCATCCTGTTCCACAATATTGATACCTTCTCGAATTAGACCAGGTTGTTACAGTGGTGCCTTTGTCTTTGAGTGTTTTTTAGATCCTTTGCATTTATAGTGTATGAATGCGATTCTGTTCAAACGTATTCATAGTTGAAAACTATGCATTTTATAAATGTGTACAGGTAAAGACACAGGACAGCGCAAGTTCTGTATCCTTACTTGTCTGTGTTTATATTGCTCCGTTTTTAACTGCAGTGCATCATGTCTTTCATGAGGTGTAATGTGAGTGATTGTAGTTGAGCAAGTGTTGTTGCCGTCGCATTCTAAAAGACGGGGCGTGAAAACACGTATGCAAGAAAGAAGTCCAAGTAACAAGAAGGTGGCCTCGACTTCTGTTTTGTATCCGTGTTCCCATGCTTTGTCTTTTGTAATATATACTTAAGCTCAGCACTCTTTTGTCAGTGACACCAACATTTTTTGTTTTGGGATTTATATCCACAGCACATCATCCACCCCAAGCGGATCTCATCGAATCCAAAGGCTAAAGGCATTCTTTGGCGACAAGGTAAGGCTGTATTTTCCACCAATAGTGGACGACCGTTTTGGTGACAAGAGCTTTTATAGTTTCTTTTTTTTTGCATTCAAATTATTTTCGGAAGTCTTCTCTAGTAATCCAGTGCAGTTGAACCTTGTTCAAAAGAATTTGCAGGGAACACAAAAACACTTTTTTTATACACTGTTGTAAGTTCTTTCTTTAGGTACTAAACAAGAAGTGAATATTTTATGCAGATACTCCTTTTATCTCTTTGCTCATTATGCCAAACTTGAACTTTACTGAGATTAGACAAAAATTTACGGGTTATATTCAGGCGTTTGCATGCCCATTAGATTAAGATGAGAGCTTCTTTTTTCATGCGGCACTTTCGTACGTGCCAAAAGTTGCAACATTTATTAGAAGTCCCGGCTTAATCATGTGTAAAGTGAAGGGTGCATTGGAATGATAGCTGAAAGAGAAGCAGCAGACAGGACTAGCTCTGACTCGCAATTGAAAATCAGCGCTACTCGCTATTTTAATGGAGAGTCAGCGCCAGTCTTATTTGCTTCTTCTCTTTTGCCCGTTGTTCCCATGTGCGCTGCACTTTACGAATGATGATGTACCAACTAGCTCAAAGTGCCATTTTATTGATGGCTTAATAACAGTAGCACAAAGTGAAGGCGCTAAGAAGCTAGGAATTTCTGTAGGAGATGCGTACAGCCTCTTGGTGATGGTGACACGTGCAGCTGCGCTATTGGCAGTAGCCATACCAATGGGCTGTAGCATTCACATTTTTGGATGCTTACTCCCAGGCTTCAAACTCATCAACACCTGGGGGGGATGTGAAGAATGGGGACACAGAGGAACGGCAGCAGTCACAACAACAGCAGCAGCAGCAGCAGCAGCAGCAGCAGCAGCTGCAGCAACCTGAGGTGACAGGTGATGTCCAGGGATGGCTGGCCTGCAAGACTGTGCTTGTGGATGGCAAGGTGTGTCCCTCTCTCCCCCTGTTCATGCTTGATAGTACCGTAATCACTCGCATAAATAGGCGTACTGTTTTCCCAGAAAATCCGGCTCCAAGTTCGGGGTGGACCTGTTGCGCGGGATAAATTTCTTAAAATTTTATTTCCAACTACTGTATAGACCGCTGATAACGCAAGTCGCTGAAGTCAGAAATATCCGCACTACAGCCAAAACAACCTTTTTCATGAGCTATGCTAGCGCAAAACGTGTTGAGCATGCAATCTCGCGTATCCAAGAATCCAGGAATGTGATGCAGTGTGCTTACAAGCATTCAAAAAATTAATATCGAATGATCTGAATTGCCAACAAAATGATCGCAGAAAAAAAAATACTATGAAAAGAAAGCAGCCTCGCAGAAGTTCGCCGATTGCGTTTCAGACCTCCTAGATTATGCACATTATCACGACCGAAATTTTGTGCGCAGAACGGTACCAATCAGTGGTATAATTTGATGGCCTCGCACCTCATATCTAAAGACATTGAAATCGAATCTCGAACCACCTTTCGAGTGTTACAAGCCCCACCCATGCCCCTTTCCTTCAAGTAGAGCCACGCAAAGAGTTAGGTTGATACAAGATGATCACAAGATGAAGATAATACAGGCTTACCAGCCTACATCCAGCCATCATGATGCTTCAGTTGAAAGCTTCTATGAAGACGTGGAATCGGCAATGAGTAAGGTAAAAACACAGTATACTATAGTGATGGGAGACTTTAATGCAAAGGTAGGGAAAAATCAGGCTGGAGACCAGGCAGTAGGAGATTATGGCATCGGTACTAGAAATGCCAGAGGAGAGCTACTAGTAGAATTTGCAGAACGCATTAATTTACGGATTTTGAATACCTTCTATCAAAAACAAGGAAATCGTAAGTGGACATGGAGGAGCCCTAATAGCGAAAATAAGAACGACATAGACTTTATAATGAGTGCACACCCAGGCATCGTGCAGGATGTGGAAGTGGTTGGCAAGGTACGATGCAGTGATCATAGAATGGTACGGTCTCGAATTCGCCTTGACTTGACGAAGGAATGGCAGCAACTGATACGCAAGAAGCCAATCAGTGAGCTAGCACTGAGAAGGAAAGTACAGGAATTCAGAGTCTTGCTTCAGAATAGGTACTCTGCTCTTATTAAGGAAACCAACCTTAGCGTAGACACAATGAACGATACTCTCACGAGTATCATTACGGAGTGTGCAGTGGAAGTTGGAGGCAGGGTAGTTAGACAGGACACTGGCAAGCTTTCCCAGGAAACGAAGAATCTCATTAAGAAGCGTCAAATGATGAAAGTCTCAAGTACAACAGACAAAATAGAACTGGCAGAGCTTTCGAAGTTGATTAATAGGCATAAGGTATGCGATGTAAGAAGGTATAACATGGAGAGAATCGAACACGCTCTGAAATCTGAAAAACGAAGAAAACGTCAAAGCAGTGATGAGAAAACTTGGGGTAGGGAAAAATCGGATGTATGCACTAAGGGACAAAGAGAGAGAGAGAGAGATAAAGATGCAAGGAAAGTCAGGGAGGTTAACCAGACGCACAGGGACAAAGAAGGCAAAATAACTACCAATATGGATAGGACAGTTAAAATAGTGGAGGTGTTTTACAGAGGCCTGTACAGTAGCTGGGACAACCCCGAACCTAATACTATAAGAGCTATCAGTAACCCAGATGACACCCACTAGTAATGATAGAAGTAGTCGGAAAAGCCTTGGAGAGCATGCAAAGAGGCAGAGCTGCTGGTGAGGATTAGGTAACATCAGATCTGCTGAAAGATGGAGGACAGGTTGTGTTAGAAAAACTAGCCACCCTGTTTACGAGGTGTCTCCTGACGGGAAGAGTACCAGAGTCTTGGAAGAATGCTAACATCGTCTCAATACATAAGAAAGGACATGACAAGGACTTGAAGAATTACAGGCCGATCAGCTTGCTATCCATAGTATATAAGCTATTTACAAAAGTAATTGCTGACAGAGTTAAGAAAACATAAGAATTCAATCAACCAAAGAAACAAGCAGGATTTCGAACAGGCTACTCAACAATCGACCACATTCATACTATCAATCAGGTAATGTAGAAATGCTCAGAATATAACAAACCACTATACATAACCTTCATAGATTACGAGAAGGCGTTTGATTCAGTAGAAATATCAGCAGTCATGCAGACACTGCTGAATCAGGGCGTCGATGAAGCATATATAAACATCCTGGAAGAAATCTACAGGGGATCAACTGCTATCATAGTGCTTTATAAAGAAAGCAATGGAATTCCAATCAAGAAGGTTGTAAGGCAGGGGGACACAATCTCTCCAATGCTATTTACCGCGTGCTTACAGGAGGTTTTCAGAAGCCTAGAATGGGAACAGTTAGGGATAAGAGTTAATGGAGGGTACCTTAGTAACCTGCGCTTCGCCGATGACATTGCATTGCTGAGTAACTCAGGGGACAAATTGCAACTCATGATTACGGAGTTAGACAAGGAGAGCAGAAAGGTGGGTCTTAAAATTAATCTGCAGAAAACTAAAGTAATGTACAACAACCTCGGAAAAGAGCAGCGCTTAGAGATAGGTAATAGTGCACTTCAAGTTGTAAAAGACTATGTCTACTTAGGGCAGGTAATAACGGCGGAGACGAACTACGAGATTGAAGTAACTATTGATTGATTTGATTTGTGGGGTTTAACGTCCCAAAACCACCATATGATTATGAGAGACGCCGTAGTGGAGGGCTCCGGAAATTTTGACCACGTTGGGTTCTTTAACATGCACCCAAATCTGAGCACACGGGCCTACGACATTTCCGCCTCTATCGGAAATGCAGCCGCCGCAGCCGGGATTTGAACCCGCGACCTGCGGGTGAGATTGAAGTAACTAGAAGAATAAGAATGGGGTGGAGCACATTTGGCAAGCACTCTCAAATTATGACAGGTAGATTGCCACTATCCCTCATGAGGAAGGTATATAACAGCTGTATCTTGCCGGTACTTAACTACGGAGCAGAAACCTGGAGACTTACAAAGAGGGTTCAGCTTAAATTGAGGACGACGCAGCGAGCAATAGAAAGAAAAATAATAGGTGTAACCTTAAGAGACAACAAGAGAGCAGAGTGAATTAGGGAACAAACGGGGGTTAAGGATATCATAGTTGAAATCAAGAAGAGAAAATGGACATGGGCTGGGCATGTAGCGCGTAGACAGGATAACCGCTGGTCATTAAGGGTAACTAACTGGATTCCCAGAGAAGGCAGCCCCGCCACGGTGGTCTAGTGGCTAAGGTACTCGGCTTCTGACCCGCAGGTCGCGGGTTCGAATCCCGGTTGTGGCGGCTGCATTTCCGATGGAGGCGGAAATGTTGTAGGCCCGTGTACTCAGATTTGGGTGCACGTTAAAGAACCCCAGGTGGTCAAAATTTCCGGAGCCCTCCACTACGGCGTCTCTCATAATCATATGGTGGTTTTGGGACGTTAAACCCCACAAATCAATCAAATCAATCAATCCCAGAGAAGGCAAGAGGGTTAGGGTGAGACAGAAGGTTACGTGGGCAGATGAGATTAAGAAGTTTGGGGGTATAAATTGGCAGCAGCAAGCACAGGACCTAGTTAACTGGCGGAACATGGGAGAGGCCTTTGTCCTGCAGTGGACGTAGTCAGGCTGATGATGATGATGATTACACGTGTAAATTTAAAAAAAAATGTATTTTTCTTGACTAAACTGGGAGTGCGCTTATTGTGCGAGTGCGCTTATTGTGTGAGTAAATATGGTGGTTTCTACGAGTAAAGCAGCACAGGATGGTGTTCAAAAAGTTGAGCAGCGCGGAAACCACTTTTACAATTACGTGAATCTAGGTTGCTACATTACGATATGGTGCCAGCCTGGGTTCAAGGATCACGTTCTACCATAACATTCGGGCACATACATTGAGATGATTGCTATAGTGTGTGGGGAGCCCGTGACAAGCCATGGAATGCTCTTGGTGACAGGGATCATAGTGTGGTTTTGATTCATGCAATGCACTGATGTAAATTGCTTGTGGCTGATGTTACAGAAGAGTAATGTTATGGAAGTATATTTGATTTGAATGTTGACTTGGTTAATTTTGTGCTTCGTCTAGTCAAAAAAAGGTTTGTACATCTTGTTCTTTGCAGAGGTCGAGTGATCGTTCCTGGAGGCCTGTCTGGGTAGTTCTCAAGGGTGACAAGGTGTACATATTGAAAGATCGCAAGGTGGGCTTTCCTCCTGTTTGTGCATCTGCAGTGCTAGTGTGTATAATAACGTGCCTTACCACAGCCTCTACTGGTTGCAGCCAATTGTAGAGGGGAGTTTGTGTAAAAACATTGCCACACATATTGTACTGGTGTTTGCTAATTAATGTGCTGCCATGCCACACATAATGTACTGATGTTTGCTAATTAATGTGCTGTCAAAGAAAAAAAACATGAGCATTTTGCAATTGCTGATTTTACACCACACTTTAAGATTGAATTTAGGTTTCAAGTGTGGTGTGACTGCTTTCAGATGCTCTGTAACTACCTTAGTGTGCCTGTAAGCTGACGAAAAATTCAGATTGTTTAGTCTGAGGTGGATAAAGTATGGACAAGTTTATACGGTGTTGTAGCTTACGAAACTATTTGTCGTGTTTAATTTCATGGTAGGTTACAAAGGTTTTGAATTCCATACTCAGATATTTTTACAATTCTGCTATTTATTGTCCTCACTGTAGCTGCCCACTTTCTTTGTCTGTTTGGTGATTATCATTTAAAGCGACAGTAAAAAACTTTTTAAGTGTGAATACACTTTATAAGCGACCCCAAACCATCCACCGCCGTCGGCGGCGTCCGCAGTCTTCTCTCTATCTTTAAAAGAAAGAGGACTTGGCAGGCCGCAGCGCGACGCTCTACCGAATAAGCCACGGACGCGACGCTGATATCCCCCTTCGCTCGCTCCTCCGCTCTCCTCGCTCGCTGCAGCTGCGCGCGCACCCCTCTCTCTTGTGCGCCCGCCTTCTCTCTCAGTCTCCCGTCGAGAGCGGGTCGTGCAATGGATGTCCCGGAGGCAACGCTACCATCAACAACGAATGCAGTACAACCGAATGCCAGCACTGCACCCGTCGTTGGAGGTGACGGTACCGCGCTGGTTTCGCCGACGTTGGAAGACAAGGCGACGCTGCGAAGGGCTCGCGAGACCGAACGTAAGCGGGCGAAGCGTGCAGTGGATGCCGAACTGCGTGCTCGCGAGGCCGAGTGCAAGCGGGCGAAGGGTGCAGCCGATGCCGAACTGCGCGCTCGTGAGGCCGAGGACAAGCGGGCGAAGCGTGCAGAGGATGCCGAACTTCGCGCTCGCGAGGCCGAGGACAAGCGGGCGAAGCGTGCAGCGTATGGTGAACTGCGCGCTCGCGAGGCCGAGATGAGGCGTCAGCATCGAGCCGCGAACTGCGGCCCAAGAAGCGGAACGACAACGCAAGCGCCAGGCGGAGAAGGGCGATGAAGGCCGGCGTGAAGACGCCGCTCGCAATCGTCAACGGCGAGTGGACGTTCCCGAAGCCGTTCGAGCCAGTGAACGTGCCGCGCGGGAGAGGGTGCGAGCCCTGGACTTTGCTCGTCCAGGGCTCGCATGCTATGAGGGGGAGTAAAGTTAAAATCCGTTGGCATTCGCCAGTGAGTTAACGTAAACTCCCCCGTGTGATCAAATTGCGATTCCCAGGAACCATTACACCATAAAGGCACCATAGTGTGATTAATAAATATAATAGTGCGAATTAAGTAAATACCCCTCATAGCATCACCCCGTGCATTCGCACTTAACCATGTTCACCCTCGGGGAAATGCTTGGGAGTTTTTACAGCAGCTTGCAAAGTCATATGTTCAATTAGCTACAGCTCACTTAAATTACTTGCATGGTTATGCCTCTCAGATTGCACTACCAAAAAATTATTTTACCGGTTAAACATTAATATTTATAATATTCAATAGCTACTTATTGCTGGGCTAGTAGTCTTATTGTTATTATAGTGTGACAGGACTCTAATAAGAATTCACCTGTTAAAGTTAATTAGGAATGACCCAAAATAATATTATTAGGACCGCGAGAGAAAAATTCTTTCTTGTCCCTGTATTATGTCACTTTGTTTTGCATTTCACTAGACTGTGATAAGCAGCATATTCATCTTTGGTTGAATACTTCTTTTTCATTTAAAAAGTTAATATTGCCACGCGCTTAAGTTGCCTGACTGTGATGTATTCATGTTTCGCCCACAAAAACTGTTATGAACGCTTGGTGCAGGCCGTGCTGCAATGTTTAGGCAGCGTTTCGATTTTTTGGGCTTCTTCTGTCAAAATTACATGCAGGACTCAAGTAGTCAAGTTAACTCAAAAGCTTATGCGAGCACCAGTGATAAGGCTCGAACGTTCGATGCCACATCTGTAAAACCGGACGCATCTCACCGCAGATCAGATTATCGATGGCCGACGCTGTTCACTGCCATCAGTGTACAGTCTGTATTGTATGATGTATCGTTTGCCGGGCACAAATGTGCCCCAATATAAAATTTTGTTTTGAACCTGCCGACAATTGCCTTCGTCATCGTCATGACCACTTGACAATGTGCTTGCTTGTTCTGTTGAATTCCAAACTGTATTCGTTACAGTGTAGTTTATTATGAAAACATGACACAAGCTTTTTTTTTCTTTGTTGCTTGTCATCGTGCAGACCATAGATTTTGCCGAGGGTTCACGCCTGTCGGTGCGCACCACGATGAGTGACGTGGCCCATGACTACACCAAGCGCAAGCACGTGTTTCGTCTCCGCATGGAGTCGGGCACTGAGTACCTCTTTCAGGCTGACAACCACAGCCGCATGATGCAGTGGGTTGATGCATTGCGGCAGATCACAGCCGAGGACTCCGAGGTTTGCCAACTTTCATGAATCGTTCCTACATTTGCAGTGTGTCATTTGTTGTGAATATGGGGAGCTGTGCAGGAACTGTCCATCTAATGGAGATTCCCACTTCGGTCTGACGCCATTAAAGCATGTTCGATTGCTGTGAAAAGCAGCAAGCTAGTACATGATAGCCCAGGTGCATTATACGAGAGGGCACCTTGAATCTAAATTGAAGGCTAAAGCAATCACAGAATCTGAGTCAATGCATGGCCTCAGAGGGTTGTGGCCAAGAGTGGATCTTGGGAGACTGAATTCATCACATCGAAGCTTATTTCATTCCTATCATTTCATTGAGAGTTGTCAGAGCTCCGTCAAGTCAAAATGACACTGCGGAAGAAGAACTAAATATGGAATTCATAGCTTGTGAAGCCCCGTACAATAAATGGCGATTGAAATGGACAGTCCACTAAATTGACAGTTTGTGAACAGCCCCTCCAGAACAGGAAATTGTTTTTTGAGAACAAAGCATACATTCAGGAGGACATGCCAAAGGGCATCATCAGACCTTGCCCCTGCTTCTAATTCATAAGACGTGTGAAAGAGGTGCGAGTTTTTATAATATTTTACTGAAATAACAAGGCAAACTAAAAAGCAGCTAAAACGTGAACATTCTTGCGATGATATTCAGCTGTAAGTCATTCAGATAAGTCTCCAAGCAAATTAGTTTCGTTAAAGTGGGGAGAAACTCTTAAGAATATCTGGTATTGTTGTGAATCAAGTAACGATAAGTTGAAGACGAGACAGCCGATGACAACATGAACATCCCCATGATTTGTACCACTGATGCAGACAAAGACACAAGAAAAGAAAGGAAAAAAAAAGACAAGTGCCACGTTTCCTGATTTTGCTTCTTACCTTCAGTAACTAGCTGAACTCTGTCATTGTATACCAGGCCTACTTTGATTGCAAAAATAATGTTTATGAATAGTGTGAATTCAGCTGATGCCTATTGCTATTGAGAAGGGATGCAGCAGTTACTTGATGCTCTGCAGGTGGAGGAGCTGATGCGCAGTGACCGGTCGGTGCTGGAAAAAGCACAGGCCTTCGAGCAGAGCCGGCTGTCACCCAGCAACGCTCCACCAACCATGGTGCGGCCAGCACCTCGCAAACTGGCTTTGCGTCACCGTTCACCCACGTCCGGATCACCCCGGGTGAAGTCCAGGCGGGCCTCCCTCGGGGGTGAGCAACAGCACCACTTGCCTCTGCAGCCTAACTAGTGCTCTTTGCTGCATGCTGTTCTCATTGGGGCTAAAGAATATTACAGGAGCAGTTCTGGGTTAGCATAAGTTTCTATGTTGAAATAGGGAAAAAAAAACAATTTCAGACTTCTCAGTTATTTGGTTGATGTTGAGTGAGGGCCGATGTTGGCGTTCATAGCAGCAGACAACCAACGTTAGCCATCGTTTAGACATGTTGAGCTCACATTAGCCCGTCCCAGCTAACATAAACCACCATTTAGGTAACGATAGACAGCATTCACGCATGTTAAGGAGTGCTGCTAGTATGCAAGTAAATGTGGTAGACGATGTCAAAAGACTTGGTAGGACCACTGCTTTCAGGAATGTTACAGAACATATTTAAATGGCAGTGGTTAAGGAAGACCTTTGCTTCAAAAAAAAGGAGGGGGGGGTGAAAATAAAATTTTTACAATGTAATGTAGGCCATGCAAACTGTCATATAGTGCTATAATCAATAAAGCAATAAACAAAACCTGCTAGCGCGACAGAGTATGAAAGTAAACAAACCAGAGGGGGAGAATATGTAATGTTGAATGCATTATAAAGTGAATTGTGGCCATTTGGTGTGTGATCAGTTTGACGTGTGCCTATTGGCACAGCTATGTCATATTAACAGAATTGATTTCAACCAGCTCAGAATTGTGTGCCAGGTTGAAGTGCCTGTTGCATAAGCTCTTGTCTCACGCTCAATGCACGGACGCCTTGCATGAAAAACTCTGGGTGAAGTCCTTCAAACCGTGAAATGTCGCACGCTATGTAATATCGCTGCATCGATCCTGATCGATGCAGTGATCACGATCAATCATTATCAACTGCACCGGTTGTGATCGCTACTGAAGCGGCACGGCTAAAACTATTATTGAGAAGAAAAGAAAGATGCCGTTTTTGAAGGCATTGTACCGTAATTGATATTATTTCATTAGGAAGTCTTACTTTTGTCTAAAGTGTTTTTTTTTTTTTTGCATTTCACCTGCATTGCATGCATGCATCATGAAGTGATAACTTGTTTGTACCAATTTAGGGTCCCGTGAAAGAAAACGTGAAGGTTGCATTGCACTCCTCTCTGAAAGCAGCCTGGCACACAATTCACTCCCATTCACTGGAGAGATGAAACCCCCTTGCCTGCACAGACACATTTATAGACCCCTGTTCCAGCAAAACTGGGCCCTATTTTTGAAAAAGTTGAACATTCAATGGCTGACAGGGTCATGACAACACCATAGAGTGCAAGTTGTTTAACCAAGAATATAAAAATTCACCTACAGCTCTTAGTCACTGCCACATTAGCCACGTACGTCGTCTTGGCATAAACTTAATGACAACGTATGCAATGACCCCCACCGTTTAACACAATATGCACTACATGCTTTCGTTTCGATGAAACAAGACGTCAAATGAAACAGGTGACAAGCACAGCGATGCGATACACACAATCGCTATTTATGGCAGCACAAGTATCCAAATCACGAAGTCGAGTCTCAGATCACTTCTCCATTCTTTGCTTTGAGTCATAGTTGCCATAGTTACAAAAGACAGTGAAGAAACCTGGCAATGAAAGTTTGGTAAAACAACAAAAAATTGCGAATGACCTTATGAAATGTGATTAACGCCCCTGAAACTGCAAAAAAAAAAAAGTGATTCCTTCATTTTATACATTACGTTAAATGTGGAATTGTTTTTTAGTACCCCCATACGTATAGCATAAAAATGTTGCCTTTGAGAGATGTACATTGCTTACCGTATTTACTCGATTCTACCGCGCCCTCGAATGTAACGCACACCAGATTTCCACCGCGAAAAAAAAAACAACAACGTAAGACATCGATTGCAACGCGCACTTATTTTTCTCGCTGGTCCACACGATCACACCACTAGAAAAAACGACTCCTTTCGGGAGCATCTTCCATTTAAATATGATGTACGGGCGAAGCTTGTGCCCATCTGACGTGTAACAGAGCATTGCCGTCACTGTAGTTGTACCGTGGACCGATGTTAGCACGCGAACTTGCTTCGCCCCCTTCTTCTCGACGGTTGTGGTGCCAGGCATGTCGAAGTAAAGAGGCGTCTGATCGGCATTCCCGATTTGCCCAAGCAGGTAGCCGTAATTGCGCCGCAAGTTTAGGACGAACCTATGAAAACTGTGAAGCTTTTCATCGTACTCCTCCGCAAAACTTTTCGCATATGCATGTTCCCCTTCGGAGGGAAAAGCCTTTCATCTTCATAAAGTTAGTTAGCCAGCACCTGCTCGCTTTAAACTGGCTCCGCATTAGACCTTTTTCTAAGGCTAATTGCATAGCCCGCACTTGGAGCAGTTCTGTCGTCACGGGCCGCTGTGCCGCTCGCTGCTCAAGCACATACTCGCCGAGCAGCTCTTCAATTTGCGGAAACCGACCCTGCTGTGGTCCACTGAAGCCTTTGCGTGAAGTTCTGCTGTCGACAATCTTCTGCTTTTGTTTCTGCCAGTCCGCACGCACGTTACGGGAACTCCGAAACGACCGCGATGCGGCCCGATTTCCGTCCGTTTCTGCACAGGCGATGACTTTTCTTTTAAAAGCGGCATCGTGGTGCACTCGAGTTTTGGGAGTCGGCCCTTCCACACCGTCGATTCTAATGCACTACTAGATGACGATCTCCTCAGCACACGTACGAAGTGCCGCACATGGGAAACACGTAGGCAGAAATGGCCGACGCGCCATGCCGACGCACGTAGGGGGCGGCCATTTTGGATTTGCCGATGGCAATAGAGTGACCGTAATTTTTTTGTTCGTACTCGATTGTAACGCGCATGCGATTTATGAACTCGCTTAACCGGAAAAAAGATGCGCGTTAGATTCGAGTAATTACGGTATTCGTGGACTTTGAGGTCAGCGCGGCGGGGGTTAGGATTCCAACAACAGATATATTGCTAAGCTGATGCTGAACAGCATGCCTTGTCAAGTTTCTTTATTGAACTTTTGTTTCTTTATTTCAATATCAATGAAGCATTGCATGATAATGGTTGTACAGTCGAACTCCACTACAATAAACTTCGCTTCAGCGAAATTTCCGCTACAACAAAAAATTCACGATTCCCCGTCAGCAGTCCATAGAAGTCAATGCATAAATATTGTCGCCACAACGAACACTTTTTCTTCGATCGTCCCGCTTCAACGAAATTTTACGATGCAATTCCAGGCTCAGACACTTATTTTTATGCAGTAAAGCCAATCTTTAACATTTCGAAGCATTTTCAGAGCCTGAAAATGTGTCAGCGAAGTCTAAAACACGCATTGGCATCACCAGAAACCGCCGCTGTTCAGCATGCATGGGCGCCGCCATTGCTCGATAGCGATGGCAATGAGACTGCCCTGCTTTTGCCACTGGCTTGCTTTGAGCCACAGACGATCCGAAGCTGAAGCTCAGTCGCTGAGTTCATAGTTTCCGTCACGCAGCTGCTAGGTGCAACTGCGGAACGATGCCTTTTCCGATTCCGGTGCTTATCATTGTGTTCGCGCTTAGCCAGTGTGGTAACTAATCAGAGCGGCTGTTCGTCTGCATTATCAACAATATCAGCTAACCGCGAGTGACGGATGATAAGAATGGCATAGAATAATGCAAAAATCGTAGCTCTACGATACCCTGTCTCCATCTCGACGTTGTTGAATACTTTTGATGGCGGAGAGCTGCTGGTACTAACGTGTTAATGCAACTGTTCGGTTTGTTCACGAAGACGGTTTTCAGGCGTTGTTTCAGCGTGCTTTTCACCATGGGGTCGCCATGCATGGGTAACAATCACGTCGCGACATTGCTAGGAAAAAATAGGAAGCAGCGAAATTTTTAAAATTTTGAGAATAAACGTTCCTTTGTTTTGTTAGCTCAAATTATCTATATATTTTTTTCAATTTCACTACAACAAAATTTTCGCTTTAATGAAATTTTTCCACACCCCGTCAGTTTCGTTTTAGTGGGGTTCGACTGTATGCATGAAAATTATTGCCATTGTTTGGGAAATACAGTCGGTCCCAGATATATCGAACTCGAAGGGGATCGCGAAATAATTCGATATATCGAGAATTCTAAATACAAAATATGCATATTTAAGGCCTCGATTCAAGAATTTCAGGCCTCAGAAATCGTTACAAGAGCTAACATAATGATTCGCTCGAAACAAGGGTGAACGGCAGGTTACCACACTTTATTCAGTCGGTAAACTTGTCTTGCTTCTTGCACGCCGTAAAGTTCCAGTCATCCTTAATATCATTGAAGCTTTTCAAATAAGCGAACTTAGCTCCTTCTGTCACAATGTTGATTGACACAAAACGCTGATGCAAGCTTCGTAGCGCGATAACTTGGTTAGCGGCAGAAGCGAAGGCGTTGGCACATTCTCAACCACATGGCTAGATTTTCGTGGCACCGACACCGGCAGCCAAAACCTCAGCATCCATGCAGTCGGAAACGTTGTAATCCGTACCGATAAAGTCGCTACTGTCTGAGATGGTGCCTGGAAACGCTGATAAGTTGCATAATTTACTGAAACATCGTACGACGTTTTCAGCGGTCTTGACGCACCTGAAGTCATCGCCTGGCTCGCAAGGAACATTTACGACAGTGTTTTACCTGACGTCGCTCTAAGTGCCAGCCATAATTTTTATCGCTACGTGCATGTCAACGTTCAGTTCAACTCCTGAACGAGGATTTTTCAGGAACGGGGCGAGAAGACCAGAAGGCGCAAAAGACGCAAGGCCGAGTTCTTCGGAGTTTTCGTCGACATGTTAGCGATATCGATGTTACTTTGGCTTTGTAGCTGGCAGCCGCTGCTTTTACTGACTTTGATGCAAAATGATAAAAAAAAGCGTTGCCTCCAAGACACGCATTCTGAAACCGAAAACACTAAAACATACGTTGCAAGGTTGCACATCTTGAAGGCCATGCTCTTCAGGCTCGCATGCCATTGTGTGCTAACAAACGAGTAAGGGAATGCGAACCACATACAAACATTGAGCTGAGATCACAGAGTCACTTCGCATTCTCTTTCAGTGCCCTCGGCAATTGGTCTTCTGGAAAACACTATGCCCGCGCGCTAAGACTCGAAGATCACGCATCAAACGTACTGATGTACTCGCAAGTGCCGCGCAACGAACTAGATCAGCTTTATGAAATTACATTGTTTTTTCGTCGCCTGCACGCAAGAAAAGATCCGAACTTGTGAGAACGTGGCCAAAAATGCTGGGAAAAATGGACTTTCAGAGCTTCGGCGCCGCGCAGCGTTCGATATAGCGGATGTCCCGCTGTGCGGGAGTTCTATATACAGGTGCACCGGTTCCATACTTTTGCATGGGAAATTCAAGGGGATTTTTCAACTGTTCGATATAGCCAATAGTTCTATATATCCGAGTTTGATAGATCCGAGATCGACTGTACTTCTTTTGTAGTGTGGAGGCATGAAAAATTATGTCAATGCGGCCTTGTGAGTGCAGCTTGTTTTGTTATTAGGTTGTTACCGAGTATAATAATTAAAAATGCACACCCATGCTCTTAATTAAACACTTTATTGAATATGCACGCACACTGTTTCAATTCACTCTCGTTGGGCAAATAAAAACAGCGAATAAAGCAGTGAAAGTGGGGGGACAGCAGAAGGGATCACATATTTGAAATGTACTGAAGAAGGAAGGAGAGAATTTGCTCGGATGTGAGCGCTTGCTCAAGATTTTACATTAATGACTAGTACGTTAGTTTTAAAAACGATGTAGGGTTCGTGTGAAGCCTACTGTGAAACGACGTAGGGTTTGTGTAAAACCTACTGTATGACACTCACATAGCACTAGCAGTAATGTTGGCTATGTAATCCTAAAGCAATGTACTTGAATACATGTCTACTTCTGCGTTTCAGGCTGACTACGTTAAATGCTTCTTGAATTATGACAGTTCCCATGAGGGAATTCGCCGCATACTCCATCTTAGAGGAGTCCCTTATGGTAGCATTTATTATGATTTCACCAGGCCAGCTGTAATAACCCTGGCGCACCTATAGTTGCCAATTTCATGACAAATCACACCTGTTACATTTGTAAGTGCAGTTACAAGTTGCTTATACATGGAATTGTTTGCGACCGAGAGACGGGAAAACATGTTTGATGAGAAATTTTAACAGTGAAATTGATGCCTAATGTTACTGCCTATCTGACTGGCCATGTATTATGTCCAGCATAACTATGCCCTTCTACAGCTTCTGTGTTGACAGTTGCACATGTAGGCATACTAACTTTATAACAGAAATTAAGCAGAAGCTCATGGGACAGGAACTATTTCAGATATGCATGTTGCTGTATGTTGCTCGGCGGGGTAGTTACAGTGTTGTTGCAGTATTATTAAAGGCGTTACACATATATATACATTTATGTTGTCATATTCGACGGTATACTGGATGATCAGCATCCACTTTCATGACACAACCCTTTATTCCACATGTCCGGCACCTTGTGTCCATTTTAGTCCCTCATCTCGCATATTCCCTAGCCACACGCACACTTCCTTGCTGTTAATTTGAGACTCACTCCGTCTCATTTTTTTACGATCAACTACACACAGCCTCCGAGACCCGTGCCCAACACATGGCCACTCTTCATTCCATTTCATCTCTCACAATGTGTATCTGCTAATGTCGTACATACATTGTGCTACTCTTACGCTTAAAGTCAGTTGTAAGGTGTTTTAATGTTGACTTGGCTGCCTCTGGTGCCGTTGCAGATGAGCCGTCGTTGAAGGCAGTCCACATGTGGCGAGGCAAGGTGGTGCACGGCTGGAAGAAGTTTCACGGTTCGCTGGCTACTCTCCCACCCAAGGGACACAGCATAGGGGTTCCCCTGCACGAGTGCCCTCCATCACACGAGAACCAGGTGCAGGCGCAACTCGTCATTTTTCGCTTTTTTCTCGTGCCACATGTGCACTCGTGCCAAAGGCCAAAGTCCGAAGGTATTGTAGATGTGTTCACGTAACCTAACTTTGCACCCAATTGCTCCAAGTTTGGTGCTGCACACTGCCCTTCTTTCAAATGGCATTTCAGCATAAAGGTGTGGGGCCATCAAGAAAGAATGTTTATGGGACTCCGAAATCACTGAATTCTACGGTGAGGTAATAGTTTTCTTCTTGCTTTCATCACACTTCCAACGGACGCTACCTCTTGTCACCTAAGTTTTCTATATATGGAGGATATCAGGATTTTGCACTTTTTGGCTGCAAACTGTTATCCCCACATGCGCAGTTGAATTCTCACGAAACAATGTGTAATCGGCTGAATGCGCACAATCGTCAAGTGAGACATGCAGAACGGGCATGCAACTGCTTGGCAAAGCAGGGTAGAAGACAGTTCACAAGAGATGCCATATTTACTCGCATATTTGGACCCTCGCATAATTTTTACACCCTTAATATTTTGCCAGCTGCACACACAAAAAAAGTGTTACTTGCATATTTCGCGCTCCCCGACTCACCTGGGCCAGTTCGCCGTCACGCGCAGGAAAAGACTTCGCACCTTCGGATTCTTTGGATGAGTGCGCAGTAGGCACATCTCGCCGAGCAGTCGAGCGCACTCAAACAGGCTGCGAATGGGAAGTCCCTTCTTTCGACGACTTTTCCTGAACTATGGTTCCTAGAATGCTGAACCCAAACACTCAGACCTGTTGACAAGTTGCCGGAACTTTTTGGGCGTTTCACTACCTCTATCTTCCCATCTCTACCACCGTGAGAATGCATGCTTGCGTCAAAACACGGACAACTTTTGGCACCGAAGGCGTTCGAGCGCTGTTCATGCCAACCAGTGGCGGATCCAGAGGGGGGTGGTAGGGGCGATCCCCCTCTCCCTAATGCCTGTCAGCACCCCCTCTTCCTCTCTTCAGTGCTTGCCATTCACCTGCTATCACCAGTTAGGACAAATAAGTGGGACCACTGTGAGCACACATTAACAGTATTTATGCCATTACAGGGTTTTTGTGCTAGTGAAAACAAAAAGTAATGACCACGCCCCCTTTTCAGTGTTTGTGAGGCATTCGAACGTGCTCGACAGAACTGAGGACTATACCGTGCATAACTATACCGTGCATAACTGAATCTGACTGGTTAATGTACGTTCTATTTTTTGTTAAATTAACAAGTACACTTTGTTTATGCTTTAAATTTTTATTTTTTTAAATGTATATGTTTTGCATGTCAGGTCTATTGCACATTATTTCGTATGCATTTGCGAAATCCACGCATAATTAGTGCACTCCCTTCTTGGATCCCCAAAATCACGAAAAAAGAAGTGCACAAATCATGCGAGTAAATACAGTACTACCTCTTATGTATGGACTAAGCAACAGTTTAGTTACTTACCACATCATGGGAACCAGACTGCTGCTGGAATCACAAATTGTGCTGAAATGATGGGACAAGTTAGCAGAGAATAATGCGCATATTCATTGCATTTTCAGAAATATTTTGGGGGCCTTTAAAGAATGGAAGTGTCATTTCATTCATGCTCCAGCACTGGATAAGGTGAAACTAAAGCATAAACCATGTTCAGCCAGATATGTAGTTACTGGGCATATCAATTACTGTTTTTGCACTGCTTGCGTTTCTCTCCGGCAAAGGCCTCTTTGTATCTCACGAGGCCTTACTGCTTACATTGCAGTATGGTATCAATTTTATCTGATTGAATAGAGCTGACTCAGGTGGCATATCTTGATTAGTTCTGTTTACTCTATGCCTAGTGTGGTCTTTGGCAATGTCACTTCAGAAATACAGTCGAATCTCGATAATTCGAACTCGAAGAGGCCCCGAAAATTTGTTCGAATTAGGAGAAGTTCGAATTAATGAATGCTGAATAAACGGAGGGCTTTCCATGGAGTGGTGCATGTGCATTGAGCTAACACACAAGGGGAAGTCTCAGAAGGCTTACATTTATTCACAAATCGCAGAACATCTGTCATTAATTGAAATAATCGGTGATGCACGTCTGCACACGTTTGCCTTGCAGCGAGTCAATCATTTATGCACGCAGCTTGCAAAGCATTTCTACTTCAGCATTCTCTTGGCAAGAGAAGTTGTGCACGGGAATGTCCAGCGCTGACACTTTCTAAAGACGACTACAAAGACTGAATAGCAGAGCCTCTCGCAGCCGCAGCACGGCCAGCACGTGATGGGAAAGGAGGAGCGTATCCACGCGGAGAGAAGCATTTGAGAAAAAAACCAATACTCCACGGCAGCTTTTTTTTTTTTTTTTTTTGCTCTCTTCGTGCAGGAGAAGGGTTACGTGGCAGGGAAGGGAAAGGGGAAAGCATGGCACCTGCGCGTGAGACTCTCCCCCCCCTTCCCGGCTGCAGAAGATAGTGCCTTTTCCTTTTTTTGAACCACACTCATTCAACCCAGTGACAGCTTTCTTTTTTTTCCCTCTCTCTTTTCGCGCGCGGCGTTGGAAGGAGAAGGGTCTTTACGTGGCAGGGACGGAAAAGGGAAAAGCATGACACGGGCGCGTGGAAGATCGGCATTTGAGAGAGAGAAAACATTCCACCGCAGCCTTTTCTTTCCTTTTCATTTTCTTCGAGCGCAGCGTTGAGGTGTAGCAGGTGCCGCCGCGGGATTGGGCGGGGTGCTGGCAGCATTTTCGGAGCATGGTATATTCGAATTAACCGTCGCAAGTGCTTGCGCATTCGAATTACCGGGCGTTTTCGCCCATTGGAATACACATAGCTTTGACGGGACTTCATCGTGAGTTCGAATTAACCAGAAGTTTGAATTAAGCATGTTCGAATTAAGAGATTCGACTGTATGTTATATGCATACTCAAGTGCTGGCGCACCACTCATTAATGGATTTATGCAAAACAGTGCAAAACAACACTAGATGGTGCTGTTGCTATCTCGGGCTGTTGAATTGGCACACTGTTGTACATTAACAAAATGGCTGACCTGTTTTGGCTGTCCATGGCAGCAATGTTATTCATACACTCATGGCACCATGTAAAGGCAGTCTTTGCCTCGTGCCATAGCACTCTGGAATGACCTACCCGACGTCATTGTCAATTTAACTAATCATGAAAATTTTCGCGAGCAATTAATGATACATCTATCTCAATAGCATTGTATAACCTCCTTGAATTCTGTTTTTGTTCTTTGTGCTTTTTTGCGGCTGGGAAATTCTTGTTGTTGCTTGAAGCCCCTCTTTGTCATTTGTGCAACCACTGTTATTAGTTCCAATGTTATTACTTGCTTTGTATTTTTATTAGTTATTAGTTATTAGTTGCTCTGTAGTTGCTTTGCTTTGTAGTTGCTTTGTATTGTGGCAGAAGTATCACCCACTAGCATTCTTTCCTATGTACCCCCCTTACTCTATGCTCCGTAATAGAGCCTGTAAGGTATTTTTAAATAAATAAATAAATAAATGTAGCCAGGCTAGGGGCTTGCACACATGCACACGCACACAAGCACACTGTGGGGTCTCAAGAGGGGCTTGAGACCCCACATGTGTACATGTGTACGTTTTTGTGTACATGTGAACATGTGTACGTTAATAACCTGGTTTTACATCATGACGAAATCGCAAGCCGAATCTAATACATCACCAGCGACACGCTAAAAAGCCAATACAACTCATAAACAAACGGCTTTACCAAACGAGCAACACAATGCCTATACCAGGTACTGCAAATGAGGCATCTCCGATATTTGGCTCGTCATGAGGGGCCCATGGGTAACGACCTGCATTGTCGTTTCTCACGAATCCACCACAGGAGATGTCCGTCGACGCACGCTGCTAAGCCCCAAAAGACACTCGCTGCTGTTTTCTGTGCGCCGGCCTAATCTCTCCTGCCCAGATGGTGTTACTGACTCCGATGCTCCAAGCCTAACATGCGCAATCACAGTACCACATCTTGCTTAGCAGCGATTAAATTTAACCATGGCTAATCTGCGAGATGTGCATGCACCACGAGATGCAAATGACCTTACAGAGGGTTATAGCACCCCCACAATGCATACACTGTTAAGGGTTCGGGGTTGACGAAGGCAGGTACAGCGAGTTTCCTTTCGGTAGCTGGCTCCCCGCTGCCGTCCGCATAGCCCGTGCTCGCCAGTGAAGAGATGCGTTCTTAAAGAGACAGAGCGTAGGTTTATTTACATGATAAGAAAGATGAAAATGTACAGTGATTCCGCTGAGATTCAGCGGAGATTCAGAAGAGATTCAGCCCCTATTTACAAAATGACTTCGGCTTTTATAGCCTGTCGTTTCCTGTATACGTCATCCGAATAAGGCGGTGTCCGCTGTTGCCGTGAATCAGGTGACGTGAAGTCTCAGTGGTCCACCCACAGAAAGGGTGCAGGTGTTGGACCACTCGGCTGAAGAGAAACACGGGCGAAAGTGTTCAATGCGTAGCACGAGTGCACCTCACAAAGACGCACCCGGCCCACGCCTTCAAGACATCGAAAGACGAGGAGGTAGAGTTCGGTGGAGGGTGAAAGTTGAGCTCCTCCGGAGAGATGGCCGTTTACACGAACGTCAGCAGCGGTCCAAGGCTGCGTTAAGCTACAGTGTTCCGAAACTTTCTCGAACATGGCTGTTCAGGTGCTCATTTCCTGAGAACGGCCACAGCGACGCCTTCCCATGCTTCCGAACTGTCGGTGCTTTTGTGACGACCTCGCGTGGGCGACAATAGCCGAGTCGAGAGCTTGACTCTATGAGAACTGCCACGGTGGCGCCGTCTCACGCTGTTTGAACCCGTTCAACAAAAGGGTTGTTTCGCGAAGCTTTCGTTGTGACCCGACCAGAGCGAACTGCCTGGAAAACCTACAGGACAGCGTTGTGCGTGGTGCTTCTTACTGGGCGCTTATGGGGTCGAAAGCATTCTAGCAGACCGGCTTATGCACAATGGCATCTACCGAGATGAACTGCTGGGCGAAACGTAACAACGCGTACACACATTTACACTGGTGGAGTTGTAAACAACTCTTGAAATAAAAATATTCTGGCTACGCTGCTGGATGGCAACTGGAAGGGGATAGGCACAGTTTGGGCAGAATCCTTGGTACTTTTGCTCGGTGTTATCTCCACTGCATATGCCAGTGCTATTAAATTGGTTATTAGCAGCTGAGTATTTGGCAGTATTGTTTTTAATATTCACTAGAACTGTTTTGAAAAGCCTACGAAGCAAAAGAACCACCTCAATACGGTGAAATTCATGATATGTGACTATCTTCCTGAGCAATTATGACATCACTATAACTTCTCCACAATCTTAGCATTGTTTACTGATTAACACTGTGCCATAACCATGAATCATTAGACATGCAAGCCGGCAGCATTATCTATTAACACCACAATGCTACTACAACACGTTATATTGAATTTCGTTTTGCATGAGTTTTTTTGATGGGCAAAAATCTTAGGAGCACTGCATCTTAATGGTTTTGTCCCTAGCTGCCCTTTACCTCACAAAGTAAATAGGTTATGGTAGGACACTGTGTTAGTTTTTTCTGATGCCTGGTTGAATTTCGCACCACAAATTGTTTTCTATTTCTTGCACAGTTGCTGCATTACACAACTATGGTAACTCACTATTTTGCAAATGGTGGTACATTTGTGGACTAGCATGTTTGTCATGATGATTGTTATCAGCACCGTGCTGTGTTGATCTTTGCCCTGTTATACCCTAATGACGAAAGCAAAGTGTTTGAGTAGTTCTTCAGCCTGGTTAACTTGCCTGTGCACATGCAGTATGTCCCTTGGCTGGTGAGCCAGTGTTGCCGTGTCGTGGAGGCGAAGGGCCTGGAGACCGTGGGTGTGTATCGCATACCGGGCAACAGTGCCGCGGTAGCGGCCCTCTCTGCCACAGTCAACGGCACGGGTGGGCCTCTGGACCTGACCGATCCACGATGGGGCGACGTGCACGTGGTCTCCAGCCTGTTGAAGGCCTTCTTCCGGCAGCTGCCCGATCCCCTGGCTGGCCTCTACCCGCGATTCATCGCTGCTGCCCGCGTACCTCAGGGTGCTCAACGTCTCGCCGCCCTACGAGCTCTGGTATGATGCGATGCTTGATACCATTATCTCTTGGTCCGCAGGGCCTTTTGGTGTGTTACTGTAATGCATTTAAATGTACTAACAAAGGCACAGGAAGACGCATGAATATGCAAACACTGCACCTTGTTGCGTCCTTGTGTGTTGCGTCCTTGTGTTGCGTCCCTGTGTAAACATCAGAAACTTGTGGGTGTTCTTTATGCGTAATTCTAATGTCATCTCTCCGCTTTTCGTGACAGGTACATGAGCTTCCTGTGCACAACTTTGAAACCCTCAAGTTCCTCATGCAGCACCTCAAGAAAGTGGTGGCTCACAGTGATACTAACAAGGCAAGGCTCGTGTTGATATACTCATGTTGTTGTTCAGTTAGAGCTGACCCTTATTTTATGGAAGTCGCGTCTTAGATTCAAGTGCCCTCATCACATATAGTGAAACCTCGTTATAGCAAACCCTGTTTTAACGAAATCCACGACAAGTGTGCAAGGTCAGTAAGGGTGCATCTTAATATTTTTGGGACACTAAGACAGGGGCAAGAGAAAGAGACATGAATGAGACAAGTGCTAACTTCAAACCCCATTCAGTATGGAAGAAACATTAACATATGCTAAACCAGTGACACTAATCTCATACACTCAGTCACTTCTAACAAGTGCAAAACTAAATGGTCGCTAAACTATTAAGAAAGCATGATCATAAAACCCATACAACTTGAAAAGCAGCTTTAATATCAAGAAATAGAGTGGCTACAGAGAACAGTGTAAAAAACAAGTGCAAGATGACATCTTTTCCACCTTCAAATGAGATATGGCTTTCAGTAGTGAGAGCTGCATCTGAAGACGTAGTTGTCACTGAGCCAGCTTGAGAATCTCTGGCTTGAGAATCTCTGGAATAATTTACAGTAGGCTCTCATCAAACAGAAGCTGAAGGAACCAGGAAAATATTAATTTAACAGGAATTCCGTTTACTGAAAGATGTGCAGGGGTGTAGAATACAAGTATGAAACCAGTCTTGTCAAAAAGCACTTGCTTCATTGAAGCAGCAGTTCTGTTTAAGAGATTTCCACTTACTGACAGTCTATTGTAATTTCTTATTGATAATTGACCGAGTTGTTGACGTGAGATAGTTGAGTGTCTAGATATCTTATGAATTGTTATAATTTTTTTAAAGTGAAAGTGATGACAAATAAAAATGGTACTTTCTAGCACTATAATAAAAGCTCAGTGAATTCAGCTCCATTATTTTGGAAAATTGTACCATTCAGAGTTATTTTGTAGTTCTCGATAGTATACGTGTTTAATTTCATCAAACTCATGCCAATTTAGTCATATTTGGCTACAACCCGGTCATTTCGCATGATCCTGGGAGTGCACCGAGTACGTAACACCACAAGTATGCGACGAAAGGAGTGAAAACACCGTTTGCAAACAACACGACTTCAGAAAGACGTGGTCGCCACCCAAAATCTTGCCACAATGATGTTGCTGGCGACCAAGGCTCGAGTGTCCGTAGAAAACTTGTTTTGTTTTTCGTTTTTCTCAGCACACGCAAAGTGCGAGGGGCCCTATCTATTATTGCATCAATAGTGGGGATCGAAGCTGCAATGGCAGGATTTTCGTTATGGCTGCATGCCTTTAGAACTTTGTCATCCACAAATGATCATTAGTGAACCAGGTTTAGTCAGTAGCAGGTGTGGTGCTCAACAGTTTTCATTTTCGACTTTGGATGTTGGCAGCACACGTGCCTTCAGAACTGCATTGATATGATTGTGTATTTAGCATCCACAGCGGATGCAACACTCAGCAGCTTTGTTTTCACTGCAGCCAGTGCATGTGAAATGCCACAAATCTCAAACATAATAAAAGATCTCAAAGGTGAAGAGCTTCAGCTGTGGTGCGCATGTTGCTGCAAAACTCGCTTGCTACGCTATGATAGACGAACGATCGGTTGTTGGTCATGTAGTGTTGGTGGTGGCAGTGCGTAATAAGAGATGGGTTCAGGGCGTTACACTCAAACCTCGTTATAACGAAGTTGAAAGGGAGCCACAATTATTTCGTTATATCCATTATTTCATTATATCGATTATAACAGTTTGTGGCAATGTATTCTCTGATGGGCGCACACCTATAAGCATGCAAAGAAAGAAATTGCCTCACGGCCCGATGTACTGCTATGCGACCACGCGTGCGACTGAAAATAAACACAGTCAAACCTCATTAATTCGAACACGCTTAATTCAAACTTCCAGTTAATTCGAACTCACGCTGAGGTCTCGCCAAAGCTATGTGTATTCCAATAGGCGAAAACACCCCGTAATTCGAATGCACAAGCACTTACGACGGTTAATTCGAACATACTGCGCTCCGAGAATGCTCTCAGAACCATGCCCAATCCCGCGGTGGCACCTCTCAGCGCTGCACTCGAAGAAGGAAAAAGAAGAAAAGGAAAGAAAAGACTGTGGCAGATTGTTTGCTCTCTCTCAAATGCGGATCTGTGATGCGCCTGTGCCGCGTGTGATGCGCGTGGCTGTTAGTAAGGTCAGCGCGGTAGCTTTGAATGAACATCAAACTCCGCACAAAACGATATACTAAACACACTACGGTTGGTTTATTTTTTTATAGACTAATTTAGTTCGTTATATTCATTTACTGGTCAATTTTACTTCGTTACATTGAGGTTTAAAATGCGTGGTTCTTAACGAAGCTATCCAGGGGAATTGCATTTACTTCATTATATATATTATTTTGTTATATCTCGTTACGTTTTAATGAGGTTTGAGTGTATTTGACTCGAAACGTGGACACTTGAGCTGCGGTTGCATTGTGAAAAAAGTCGTGAATTGCAAAAATTGTTGCTTTTACAGTGCTTTTATGCGAAATAAGTACTGGAATTACATATTCATTAAAAAAATGAAATTGCATTGATGTTATAGATGCTAATTTATTGCTTTCTTGATACTTTTCATAATTTGGCATTTCATTAATCTGAAATTTTTGATCACCTGTGTTTGAGCAGCGTGCAGTATGTTTGTGAAATGACACATAAGCTTTTACTCTGTGCTTATGAGATCATTCGTGCGACTTTAAAGGATTCTAATCCTGATACCTTGTTCCACTGTGCAGATGGAGGCTCGCAACCTGGCCATTGTTTTTGGACCAACGCTGGTGCGCACAGCTGACAACAGCATGTTGACCATGATAACTGATATGTCCCACCAATGCCACATCACCGAGGCACTCATCAACTATGTGAGCATAGATGCGCTGTGCACTCTCATTATTGATACATGTTGGGGGCACCCTGGCTGTTCTGTGAACATTGTGGAACATTGTCAATTCTCTGCGTTTGCCAAGAAGCAAGTGGGAATCGTTTATTTCATAAGACATCGGCTTATTTCTTGATTCACATTGCCTAAGGGGAGGGACCTATCAGCATCGGAGTTTTATTTATCACACGGTCATGCCAGCTGCTGTTTTTATACGAGTTTATTCATCATTGCATGCAGGGATAATTGTGACAAGGTTCACAAAAAAAATTGCCGCGGGTGAACAATGGAAGCTTCGGGCTGGCACCAACATTTCAATGAGGAGTCTTTGTACAGACATATCCTTTGTGTTTAAACCAAAATTGTTCAACGAATTAGTTTTTATTGTCACAAAACGACTATAGGGAACCTTCTTATGGTCAACCAAAGTAGCCCTGAAGCGGCACTTTGTTGTTTAGGAGGCTCTAGCCATTTGCAGACTTTTACATAGAAGTTGAACCCCTTTATAAGAGACACTGATATAAAAGACAAATGGTTATAAGAGACACCAGTGTGCCTACAGTAAAATATGGGTTGGTAGGAAAATGCACACATGGTGCCCTGCTTATAATTGATTGATTGATATGTGGGGTTTTACGTCCCAAAACAACCATATGATTATGAGAGACGCGCCCTGCTTATAAGAAACGTCTCATATAAAATTGTTGCCCGGAGCATGCCTCTTATAAAGGAGTTTAACTGTGATGGGCAGACAGCACAAGGCACAACGCTGAAATGTTGGCAGGGCATCTGGTGACTGCTCACCCTCAGATGTGGGACACCTCGTTAATTGCGTACTACTGCAGGCGGACTACATATTCTGCCCGTCCGACGAGGCCGCAGTCCCAGACCTTCCATTGGATGTGACTGCCCTCTCAGACACGGACTCATCAGTGCTCCTGGGAAACCTGCATAAAGTTGGTGGGCACGGTAAGGTAGCTAGAAATGCACTCAGTTTTCAAGGTGTGTCAAGCACAGGCTGGTAGTGCAGTTAAACCACTTTATAATGAAGAAGGAGAGCCGAATTTATTTTGTGATAACCATGACTCTATCTCTACTTTTATAATGGCTCTGCTTTTATACCGCTCTACTTTTATGATGGCCACTGTGCTTGGTAAAACGATGTAACTGCTGAACAGTCAAAGCCCCACAGGCTTAATCAAAAATGCTCTGGTGATAGTGATGCTAGTAGCCCCCTCCCTTTCACAAAGTCTTCATTACGCTCAAGGTTTTGCTTTCTCAGGGATGAGTGATACTGCAGTTAATCACCTTCACATTGAAATTTTCAACCATTTTTTATATAGAAAACAGGTAGAATAAGTATTTTGAATTCTTGTCGTCATGTGAGGTATCTTTGCTGCCTGGCTCATGAGGCGGTAAAAAAACTTGTTACTTAAAAAAAAAAAAAAAAAGAGAGATGGGACAAAAAGAGGAATATATAAGCACACGCTGTGCTTTGTTTGTGTCTCCGTGTTCCTGTTTTGGTCCAGTCTTTGTGCAGTTATGTTTGCTGAAGTCATGTTTCGTCATGAATAGCTGGTGCTGCGCTTTTCTGTATTGCAGCAGCAGGAGGCTGCAACCCGGACGTGTCCCCTCGAGACCTGGTTTCGTCGCTTGTGAGCGCAGCCAACCGCAAGCTGCGCCAGCGCAAGCTGTCCCTCACCGTGGAGAGCAGCGGTGGCAGCCCAGGCTCCAGTGGTGGGGGTCCCCTGAAGCCAGGCTCACGGGTCAAGGACAAGATTCTGGCCTTTGAAGGCAAAGTAAGCGAGGAGACGACCAGCAAGGCGGCCAGCAACGGATCGCTGCCCGCAGAGAGCAGCTCTCCGCCGCCTCCCCTCTCGGCCGGCTCCAGCAGCTATCCTCCGTCGCCAACACGGACCCTGCTGGGATCGCCGCCTCAGACGCCCTCTGTATGCTCAGAGTGAGTTTTGCCTGGCTGCATTGTTCCTTTGTGAAGATGCTGTCTAAAAAAAGCAAGAGAGAGATGATGCCAAATAAAGGTGTACAAAACACAAGTAACACAAGAAAAAAGAACCAGGCAGGACAAGCGCTCTCGTTTCTTGCATTTCTTGTGTTTATTGCACTTCTAAGTACCACCATAGAACCTTATGATGTCGCCCGTGTGTCTGTTCTTCTACACCTTCCGACCTTCATCCTTTTTGTAACATGATCTTAGTGTGTCTTTTCATTTGATCCTTTTTTTCTCTATCTCTCTCTTTTCTTTGGGTGGGGGGGGGGGGAGGAGCATGGTTCTGGTTAGGTTGTTGTTTATACCATGAGTTTTTCGGTTTGACAAGAAGTAAAAGTGAATGCCAATTAGTACTGAATTATTTCAAAGCTTGAATGGTTTGAGTAGTGGTATTTGCATGAAACCTTGCTACAAGTGTCCAATTTTTACGAATTTTTAGAGAGTGAGTTTACTATTTGCCAGAACAAATACACGCTAACCTAATATAACAAAATAGTCATGCGATTGCTACAGTGTTAGTAATATACATTTATAATGACTTTTCAGGTACATTCGATTTTGGATATATCAAGCTCGGATATATCGAATTATTGACTATATCGAACTGTTGAGAAATCTCCTTGAATTTTTTATGCAAAAGTATAGGACCAGTGCACCCGTATATCGAACTCCAGCACAGCGGGACATCCGTTATATCGAACGCTGCGCCGCGAGAAGCCCAAAAAGTGCATTTTTTTAGCACTTATTGATCAATTTTCGGTCGCATTTATCAAGTTCCGATCTTTTTTCGTGCACAGGTGTTATTCCATCGCGCTGATCTGGTTCATTACGCAACACTTACGAGTGCGCCCGTATGTTTGATGCGCAATTTGCAGGTCTTGACGTGCGGGCGTATTGTTTTTCAAAAAGACCGACAACCGAGGACACCAAAATAAGAATGCAAAGTGACTCAGCGATCTTGTTGCAATGTTCGCTATCCCTATCTTGTTTATTGGCGCAAAATGGCATGCGAACCTGAAAAGCATGGCCTTCGAGATGTGCAACCTCTTGACTTATTTTTACTGTTTTATGTTTTATGTTTTAAAATGAATGTATCAGAAGCTATGCTTTCTCTAGCTTTTCCGAACTAAGCAGCTGAAAGCAGTGGCTGCCAGCTACAATGCCACAAGTGACATCGATAACGCAAACATGTTGACGGTGAGAACACAACGGTAGCGAGGTTTGTTTTTCGCGCCTTCGGGACTTGTGTCCTACAAGGCGCAAAAATCTCATTCGGGAGTTGAACAGAACTTTGACTCGCATGTAGTGATAAAAATTATGATTTCCACTTGGAGCGACGTCAAGTAAAGCATCGTTGTAAACTTTCCTTGAGGGCCAGGTGACGACTTCGGGTGCGTCATGACCGCGGACAACGACGTACGCTGCCTCAGTGAATCCTGCGACTTATCAGCGTTTCTGGGCACCATCTTGAACAGTGAGCGACTTCATCGGTGCAGACGGTGACGTAGCCATTTCTGACAGCATCAGTGCTGAGATTACGGCTACTGTTGCCGGTGCCACGGAAGTGTTCCCGTGCAGTTAGGAATATGCCAGTCCCTTCGCTGCCACCAGTTACCAACCTTTTGCCGCGCTACAGAGCTTGCATCTGTGTTCTGCGTCTATCAATGATGTTTTGGCTGAAGGAGCTGAATTCGCTTCTTTGAAAAGCTTCAATGGTATTTAGGATGCTGCAACTTGACTGCGCGCAAGAAGCAAGACAAGTTTATGAACTATATTCATGCGAAATAAAGTGTGATAACTTGCAGTTCACCCCTTGTTCATCATTATACTGTGAGCGAACTGTTGTGTTAGCGGTTGTAACGATTTCAGAGGCTGAAATGCTTTGATTTAGGCCTTAGATAGGCATATTTTGCATTTCGAATTATCGGTGTATGGAACTATTTCACGATCCCCTTTGAGTTCGATGTGTACGGAATCGACTGTATAACGAACTTATTTTGTCGTAGATACAACTTTGTTATGATGAGGTTTGAATGTTGTCTCTGTAGCAGGTTTGTCTCTGTACCAGCGAGGGCTGGAAGACAAAATCTTGGGGGAGGGGGAGGAGTTGGGGGTTAGGTTTGTAGGCAAGTCCGGTAAATTGGCAACAATGTTCAAAACTGACATACACTTGTAGATACTTGGATGAAGGTCCTTTCTTGGTGTAAAGTTTCCAGAAATAATCTTTCTTTCCTTTTTTTTTTTTGGACGGACTTGTAAAAATAAAAGGAAGTGAAGAAATTATCAGGCTAAGTGTGAAAATGGAGGACTGGGTAACAATGCCAACTGAAGGCAATCCTTCTTTGTTCCTATCTAACCCTCATTGCCTGACAGAACTTTTGTATTGGCCTTGAGAAAAGAAGTGACCAGGAGAGGGTGGGGCTTCTGACGTCGTGGTGGGGGCCGCATAATTTTGCTGCTCGAAGCTGCAGGTTGCCGAACTTTGCTCTATAGCGTCATAACTGCAGCATGAATTAGCCGAGACAAGAAAAGGAAACATACATATCCGTGCCCACTTGTCCGTCACGCTCTCTTGTCTGGGTACGTATGTAACATTTTCTTTTTCTGCATCACACCAATTGATGCTGCTGTTGTAGAGTGCCAACTTATCGAAATAGCTGCCCGTTCCAACTGTGAAGTTGGCTTATTTTTTTTCATAGTTGTGTTGTTCAGGTAAATGACTGAGTGTGTTTTTCTTTCTTTTGTTGTATTTTGTAATTGGAGTGTTGGTTGTATACAGCAAAATATAGTATGTCTCATGGTTACTGCAGTTCAAGTGCATGACATGCCTTTGAAGTTCAAACAAAAAGAAAGGTTTTTTTCTTGAGGTGTAGTTTCATGGCATTGCAAATGACAGATGAAAGATTATTTTCACAGCAGTATGACTCATGCTGATGTGAATGCACATTTTCAGGTGTGTTTCGATTTTGGCATGTTTAACCTAGTGCAGTAGAACCTCATCAATTCGAACTTAGTTATTTCTAAATCCCACTTAATTCTGAATATTTCCGCAGTCCCATATTTTGCAATGTAAGTCCGAGCGAATAATTTGAAGCGGCGGTCAGCACTATGGTTAATTTGAAAACTTTGGGTGCCATGTGCTAATTCCTGATCCCGATTTCGCCACAAATCCGTGGAAGCGATAGCTCTTAAGAGTCACAAGTCAATGCAACATAGTGGCTGAAGCACTCCAGCCGTGCTACTTCCAGTGAAAAAAATCACAGCATGTCCACGGAGGGAATGATGATGAGTGGCGCAAAGCATTCGTCAGCTCCTCCGTGCTTCCGTCCGTCCGTTTGTGCTTCCGTCCGTCTGGGCGACCATCCGTGCGTTCATCCATGCGTCCATCCGTCCGTACATTCGCGCGTCCATCCATCTGTCCGTCTGTCTGCTAGTCTGTCTGTCCGTCCATGCATCCATTTTGTGAACACTCCAAGTACCGCCATGTCGCATCTTGCATCCCCTGTGGCACATACCCGCTCCGCGCATCCTTCCAAGGTCCCAGTGCATCCATCAGTGAACACTTGCAAGTTCCGCCATTTCCCATCTTGCATCTTCTGTGACACATACCCGCTCTAGAGCGGGTATGTGCCACCGGTGGCAACATACAACATCGGAGGATGTACACACCTATGCCTTAAGGAGCTTCGCCCCTAAAAGGGGGGAAAAAAAGCAACACTCTCATGGTCAATCAAAATGTGTGCCTGCAAGAAATAAGATGTGCTTCACTTTAACACAGTGGTGATACGCGGGAAGCGCATTGCCTGTTCCTCGCAGCGCGCGTAATTTACCCATTCTTTCTGAGACTGTAAAGAAATTAATAAAGAACAGTTTGGCAGAATTCGCAATGTATGTGAACTTTCGAGTGCCAGTTCCTCCAGTAATTCGAACACTTGCACTGCTGGCAGTGTTTTTGCCTGCAATGCCTACTTCGAAAACTAAGTTTTAAATTTTTAGTGATCATGTTTTCCAGCCAAAACACATGATGAATTTCATCACACTGGCCATTATTAGATTCTTTACTTTACCAGAAAGAATGGGCGAATGGTTGCATCATGAAGTGCTGGCGCAGCAAGGAGCAGGCGACATGCTGCGAGCGCGTGACTACTGCAGCGCAGTGAAGATGTCTTGTGTTCCGCAGGTACACATTTAGTTGATCACGGCAGCATATCTTTTTTTTTTTTTTTCTTTGGTGGCAGCAGTGAGGACCACCGTTACCTCATGTTGCAGCAAAATTAAGACCAGGTATTGCTGAAAAACTGGAGCCGGCACAACAAACGACCAGCCCTGATTACTTTGAATAATTCCAAGTTCCTTGCATCCCACTTTTTGTATGTTTTGTTAATTTAATAACCCACTTAATTTGAAGATTTTAGTGGCCCCAGTGACTTCGAATTAACGAGGATTTTATGTACATCAAAACTTATTTTAGGGCAAGTTGCTTCATTGTAGAGCGATGGAGTAACATTACAAATGCACGCTCACAAGAGACAGCACAGACAAGCCCTGACTTACAACTGAATAAGAGGTGGTGCCACCACATTTGTAGCTTGGGTGTTCTTTGCTGCAAGCATTTCTTCTAGCTCCAAAAAGCATGATACACATACCAAGATTCTGTCATTCATGCAAAATAATTTAATAGAGCCTTTTTTATGTGGAAAATTTTCGGTTTCGGTTTCTGGGCGCGAACTTGGGTTGTGACATAGTGGTGTAGGTGACTTGGTCACGTGACCACTCAAGGCTGTGACGCACGTCGTACTGATTATTGTATGCTGTCGCGCACATGTGCCACACAAGCACCTGCAAAACAAACATGCCGACAGTTGTCATGGCTAGCTGCAGCAGCCACGATGCTTTTGCCGGCTCGTACATGGGGGAGGTCACTCATCTCACTTCTATAGGTGTGCGCATGGGGAGGGGGGGGGGAGTGCAAAGTCAGCCCACGCATTGACATAATAGGGAGGGGAGTGCACTGCGACAAACCTTCATCCCCTCGGAAGAGGGAAGCGTGCGTTCACCTAGGCTTACTACAGATCTGGTGTGACATCACTGCAATTTTAGTTGCCCTTACTACAGAGCTATGTCAGTGCTGGACGTGGTTGCGATGGGCTTCATTTGGAAGGTTGAGCATGTTGGTATGCTTTGGAAGGGAATTCAAATATATTTTAAATGTCTGCTGCATACGACCATTCGTGTGTAGTGTCCCTACATACAGAGGAAACCTACAAAAGGCTTGTTATAGACTCGAATAAATTTGATGGTACCACCCCTTTAGTAGAGCACTGGTTTTGGCAAACTATTTTTTCATATTTTTTTTTTTGCTGAGGTGGTGTGGTACTAAGCAGAATAATGGTCTTCATCTTGGAACGAGGTCTTCATCATTGCCGTGCCCGTCATCCTGCTCAGCGCTACGCCGCCTGAGCAAACAACCAGATTTTAACTTCTTGCAAGCAAGCCGCATGTACGTGTCACTTTTCTACAGGGACTTGTGCTCATCGCTGGCCAGTGGGAGTGCCTCACCACGAACCTACGGACAGCTGAGTGCGCTAGCGCAGCAGAAGGTGCGCCACCTGGAGGAAGAGACGCGAGCCCAGCTGCGGGCTTCCTCCCGCCGCTGCTGGCCCCCTCCCGCTTGTCCTGGCGGCCCCGCCCAGCGCGAGCAGATCGAGCGCGATTGGCAGCGCGCCAAACAGGAGCTCGAGCGCGAGGACCTGCTCGACTTTCTCGCCGACGAACCCGCGGCCTACCTGAGGCTACTCGGAGGTGGGAGTGGCACGCAGCAGCATCAGCGATCGTCGCCCGTGCCTTTCAGTCCCCTTGTCGGTGCTGTGGCAGGCACTTTCTTCCGATCACCGCAGGTGCCCCAAGCATCACAAACACCACCATCAGCAAGCTCAGGTTCGTCACTCTCCTCTTGCCTTGTGGGATGTTACTTGCTGACCGAAAAGCATTTGACATTCGGGCGCTGTGGCTCCCGAAGCACTGTCGGTAACAAAGGGCATAGTGCACAACAGCATGAATGCACAAAAAGTGCATTTATTGCTTTTTTAGTGCTACAGTGCCAGCTAACAGACGTTATGTACAAGGAATAGCTTCTTGGTGAAGCAAGGGAATCGATGAAGTTTACTTGCTGAGCAAGGTTACCTAGTGAATGCTTGTTTCTCATGGCTGATACGAACCACGTTTGTTGGCGTAGTCTTGCAAGTGTAAGTGGGCCCGAGTGATTGTTGGAGGTTTGAACAGGGAGCCTTTCACGGGATATTTCTGCAAAAAGCGTTATTAGGATTATCCCCTGGTGAATGTGCGACCATTCCTCACACTTGTTGACGTTTCACAGTTTAAGAGCTCTCAAAAAACTTCTAGAAAGCAATATACTCGCTTCGTTTGGTGGTGCTATCATTGGGAACTCACATCATAGCTGTTTAACTAGAGGCAGTTGTGAGGAAGTCAAATGTGAGGAGATGAGAGAGGTTATGGAGAAGGTAATTTCATGATGTACGAGAGAGGTTAGTGTCTCCACAGCATCATTATCTTCAAAATAGGAAACAAGCTTGTTTATAAAAAAGAAAAAGCGGTGTAGCAGGCCAAATATTTATGCCATGCTGAAAGCAATGGTCATGGCAGTTTCTTTCAAATTTCAGTGCGACTCCTCACAATATTGCATGTTTGGTCAGTTACTTATTAGTTATTAATTGGAAATTATTGTGCATTGGTATCTAAAAAAAATAATAAGATTTTATTTATTTATTTATTATTTATTATTATTATTTGAATACCTCAAAAACCCCCGGTGGGGTGTTACATGTGGGATGGGCATTGTTGATTACAGGGAAAAAAAAATGACTTGAGGGCAATCTTGAATTGATGAGGGTCAGAGTGGTGCACAGTAGATGCAAACAGATGGTTTCAGTCCTGTGCGGTTGAGACAATAAAGGAGCAAAGATGGGCAGTGGTTAGCGCTGGCGGAGGGTATACTCCTTTTGCATGGTTTGTGCGGCTGGATGTGCGATGAACTGGCAGGATGGCTGGAATTTCCATGGGAGCATGATAAAACTTGGGAAACAGGCATAGTCGAGATATGAGACGTCGTGTCTCTAGATCAGAAAGGTGAGCCCAGGCTTTACGTTTGGAAACACTGGAATTATAAGAATACTCAGAATAGATAAAGCATGCAGTGCGGTTTTGGATCGATTCTAGAACGTTGCATAGGTTAGATTGATGGGCATCCCAGATAGAGCATGCATATTCCAATTTCAAACGAACAAACGTAGTATACAATATTGGTTTGACTGATGGGGGTGCAAGTCTTAAGTTTTTACGCCGAAAACCCAGAGTGCGATTCGCGGAATTGACCATATTAGTGACGTGAGCTGACCAAGAAATGTTACTTGAAAATGTGACTCTGAGATACTTGTAGCATTCAGCGGATGAGACTGCGGAGCCAGAAATGGTATATTCTGCTGACTGGTAATGGGGCCTGCAATTAAAAGATACCAATGAAGTTTTCTTTACGTTTAAAGACATTAACCACTTATGATGCCACGATAATATAAAATTGAGGTCATTTTGTAATATTTCAACACCTGCGCTATATGCCATGGGACAGTATGCAGCTCAGTTGTCTGCAAAGAGGTGAATTCTAGAAGACATGTTTGATAGAAGGTCATTGACATAAATTAGAAAGAGTAATAGTCCGAGCACTGTACCCTGCAACACACCAGAGATTACAGAACGGCTAGATGGGACAGAGCTAGCATGCACAAACTGTTGATGATTGGTAAGAAAGTTTCGAATCCAATAAATGCACTTTGAATTAACGTTTAAACGAGAAAGTTTTAGCAGTAGCCGGTTATGTGAAACCTTATCAATAGCTTTTTCAAAGTCTAAGAAGAGGGCGTCAACAGGTATGTTTAAATCAAGGTTAGAACTGATATCGTGATAAAATAGAGCTAGTTGGTGTCGCATGAAAATTTTGAGCAAAAGCCATACTGGCTAGAATGAAAGAAATTATTGCTGGTTAAGAAATTGACAATGTTAGAAAAGATTACATGCTCTATTAGCTTGGAGCAAACGCTACTAAGGGAAGGGGGGCGATAGCTGCTGCAGAGAGATGAAAGACCTAACATAAGATTTTTCCAGAAAGAAAAAACATGTTCCACAAAGCAACAAATTCACTGATATTATACACCCCCAAAAAATGTTTCGCACAATATTTCATGTTGTCTGCAAAAACAATTTTAAAAATGAGGAAGGAAAATTTAGCCTTCTCATTTGATTTTCTGTTCCGTGTAGTCGATTCAACGATGACAGCCTGTTTATGCTTGTGTGCATGCCGGTCTGTTATTCGCTTTTTCGCTTGGTTTCAGTATTTCAATAGGAGCAGCGTGTGTTGCTTCCCAAGAAACTTCCGGGTGCTTCAATCATCACTCTCTAACACCGAAGCAGAAAGCTTGTCTTATAAGTTGTGTTGGAGTAAGGAAAAACTTATTTTCTGCTTCCAGGTAAAAACAAGACACTTAAATTAAGGACTACGTTTTATAATGCTGTGTGCAGCTTAGAAGAAAGTATATCGGAAATACTGTCTATGTGCTGGGATAAAAGTGTTGCAAATGAGTGGGCTACTCACTAAGGCTATTGTTTCCTGCCAATTCTGCTGGGCTGTGCTGGCCTTCAAAATCGGAAGCCATCTAGAACCCATGTTTGTAGATAGCGAGAAGTGTCGACTTCACTTTAGGTTTGAGAAAAAATTGTTTCCGGCATCTGGCAGCAGCACATCTGTAAAGATGTAAATGATGACAAACCTTGGGACATTCATTACTTGTTCACACCACAGTGTCAAAAAAATAATTTAGGTGTGGGCACTCTCCGGCCACAGCGACGGAGAGTGCATCCAGATAATGTTCTGCTTTGGTAGACGTGCTGGCCGCAGTTTCAAGGGGGGGTGCTGCGACATGGGGGCTTAAAAAACTAGCGCGACGAGGTGAGAGTGCATCCTTGTTTTTGTTTTGTTCGCTTCATAGTACTTTTTTCACCAGGCTCGCTAGCTACTAGATCTGAAAACTCATTCTTTCTCGCGACTGAAAAACACCATGTTCAGCAAACACCACCATTGGCTACACGGTGTAAGAAAAAAAAAATGTACTGCTATTGCTAAGTGTGCAATGCCGTTAGAGACGCTACGCACACAGCTAGTCTTCTATAGTACATGCGCTGGCTGCAGTTGTGTTGGGGGCACTCCGACAGGGGGGTTGAGAGGAGGAAAGAGGCGAACATTGTCTAGACGTACTGTCGGACCGAGTGTCCACAGCTAAATTATTTTTCTTACACCGTGGTTTACTTTGAATGCGGAACTTAAGTTCATCTGGCAAACGTGATAGCAAGTATAGTAAGTTGTCACTTAGTCCAGGAACTGAACTCCCATTTAAACCTCATTTGTGGAGCGTCGTTTTGCATCCCAGGCTATGCAGTGGCGTTTCCGCCAACTCAAAAACGAATTGTATGTTCTTCACAACCTGTGTGACCAGGCCTCTCTAGAAATGTATACAATGTTTGTGAAATAAGAACGTTTGGTTACAACGATCTAATTTGGTCCAGGAGCTTAAACTATACCTTTGGTTGCTACAGAGAAACCAATCTAATAATCTTGATAATGTGAGCAATATAGAAGAGTAAAATGAGGAAAAATGGTAAGTCATCCTTTCTTTGCCAAATCTACAGTTGACGTTGTGGTGTACACGTATCCCGAAGGAGTACGGCCACCAGCGTGGGTCCGGTCTTAGCGAGTCGCAGGGCACGCGTTAACCGTCGCCGTGGCGGGAAACACGATACTGCTCAAGTCGCAACACTTTATTGTGGCAACACCAAACGCAGTACAGCCCGTTGCAAATAGGCGCGGCGGGAAAGCAAGTAGGCTTATCCACGCCACGGGCACAAAGTACTACACAGGGGTGCCACGAGCACGTCTCCGCGGTAAAGGTGATCCACGGAGACACCGGGACAAAGGGGCCCGGTTGCTCGAGCGAGGGCAAAGGCGCTCGCGTTGGCTTCGAAGGGAGACGGGTCGGCGTAGCTAGGCCACGCACTAGGACACCGTACTGCCCTTCGGCCGTGAGTACGCAGCGGGGCAACAAAAGGTGAGCGTTCGCATCGGGCGCGAGGCGCCGTCAGCAAAGTCCGACGAGCCCCGAGCGACGGGACTCGACGGACGGAAAAGAATGCGTGGCTCACCGTTTGAAGTCCCGGACTGTACTCCCTGCTCCCGACGAAGTCCCGGACTGTACTCCCTGCTCCCGACGCAGCGCGCGAAAACCTCTCGGGGGTCCCCGCGCGCGGCGCCACAGTCAACATCCGCTACCGGGTGAGGGAGTTAAACGTCACTCCGCCCTTCCCAGCGCGGCAGACAGCAAAGGAGGGTAGGCATGTCGGGACATGAGAAAAGAGGCGGCAAAGCCCGCGCAAAGGCAGCGGGCCAGCCTCAATTCCCACATCCCCCTCTCCTAAACTTGTCCTTTACCGGTCTGCAAAAGGCAGCCGGACGTCACCCATGCAGTTAAAATGACACTGCTATGAGCGACAGCTAACCTCAGTCCAGCCCTGCTACTGCTGCTTAAAAGAAATATGATTACAAAGGAGAAACAAAACATAAATAACAAAATAAACACACGACACTATACAAATACTGCAGAAGGGAGCACAGAAACGTGGCACTAGTGTTCGTGGTGCTGAAGGGGGATAGCGTCCACTGCGCGGAGGGGCGGAAAGGCGTGACAGTGTCCGCTGGGTGCGATGCACGAGTGCGAGGTCAGAGGTACCGGAAGGGGGGGGGGGGGGGGCTCACTGATGGCTTGTTCCTGCTCTTGATAAGCCGCGAGTCCGACGAAAGCCGCTTCGGTTGTTCG